GGTGGTTATTAAGTAATGGTTCAATAGTGGCAGTAATCAAGTTGTGATCCAATGATTACGGTCGGACAATGATTTGGTGATGGTGTTCGGGTGGAACTTTAAGATTCTTAAAGTCTTGAGATATCTTTTGTCTCAAGCCAAGATCCCAAACCCCCTTCATACAAATAGTGTGTTCCTAATTCTATATTTTTTAGAGTAGCATGCCTTATAATTAAAGTCAAATTTTGGAACACTCCATTAGACGGCCCGTATTAATTTCCTGAATCATAAACCGTTCTTCAAGCATTTAAGAGGTTTAATGATGTCTGAATTAGATTATTCTATGCTAGTTAGATTCACCTTATTAAGACGCTCAATTGACTATAATAATATGATATTTGGAGAGTGTTTGGTTCTCCAATTAACCTAACAAAGTTGTCTATTGTGATATAGTGCTTAATTTGGGTTCATTCAGACTCATATCAAACAATTTTTGTTGTGTTGGGTTTTTCTGATCGAGACATTAAGTTTAACCATAAATTTATTAAAATCAAAGTTTAGATATTCCAAAAAATTCTAGTTCAATTATATATTGTGATTCATGCCCGATCAAATCAATTTTAATTGAGTATCAAACATATTATTTTAAGGAAATTTATCAAAATTTAAAATCCTTTTAGCAATCAAAATATCTAATTGATGCTTTTTTTTTTAGTTCTTTCGCATAAAAAAGAACCAAGCTACCATAAAAATTAAAAAAAAAAAATAAACACACACACGCACAATGATACCCATTACAAATCATGGGAAAGAATTTAATTGATCAACACTTACCCAATATATAAACATAAAATTTTTACAGATCATAAAAACCCCTTAACAACCAATTATAATTTTTAAAGTCAAAATATGAATCTCAAAGAACTTAACCAGAATTTATACTGAATAAAAATATTGGTTCGAAAAAAGTATTTTAGAGATCAATACAAGCTGTAAATAATGCTAATTAAATGTTGAAAGAATCATCTCCTGTGATTGTGCTGATTCCAATGCCTTCAAAATAAGTCTTCTTTTGGGACGAACTTTCTTGCTGATTCTGATGCCTTCAAAATTATTACGTGCGGTCACCAAATCGTTCGGAGGCCAATTAAGACGCGCCAAGTCATCAGATACATAGCAGTACATATTAATGGTAAACAGCGTATTGATGACATGACGCATCTTGATTGACCTCTAGAAGGCGTAAATGACCGCACATAATAATTTCGTGTCATGATGAGATCTGAAAGTTCACATCAACAAAAACTTTGCTGCTTTCACATTCTCTACAACTTTTGAAACATTCAGGATCGAGATTGGTCTATTCGGATAATGATGCTCTTCTCTATTTTTCGCTGCAACTCAATATAATTTTTTCTCTATTTCATTTAGAGTACTTTTTTTATGTAATTATGTTTTATAGCTAAAGAAATTGAGTTCCACCCCTAAATTTCAAAAATGAAAGTCATACAACAAAAATATTCCATTCTTTCATAAAGGGTTTCTAAATGTTGAATGCTAAAATATTTATGGCCGATGGAGTGATTTTTTTTAGAGAGGTTTTAATGATATTCAATAAATTATGCAATTATAAAATATTTATCAAATATTAGTTTAAAATATTAAATTGTTTGAAGAATAATATGGGACTAATTATGAACATAAATAATTTATGCCAAAAAATTATGTTATGCAATGTGTTTACTATGTTATGCTAATTTGATTGAAAAGTATATAAGATTTGTTATATGCCAAAAAATTTCTGACAATAGAGAGAGTTTTATGTTATAGTTTTGTACGAGGATTATACACTCAATATACATAATACACGATATGTTTTATATGGGAAATTCATAAAAGAGAAAAGTCATGGATCAAGCCCAACCGAAATAATTCAATTAAGTGATCATTAATTACAAAGAATTACCTGCCCTCAGGATCATAATAGTATAACTTGTTGGTGGAGAATATTATAGAGTCGATAAGGAGTAACAAGCGTTCAGAAGAATGTGGTCGAGTGACAATAGTTCGGCTATAGATGGAGGTTGAGTAATGAAGAAGTTCAGGTGGTTGCAGTTTAAGAATAAAGGTTGGCGGGTGGTGGTCAATGATAGTAGTGGTCTGATAGAGGTTGGGCTACGATTGTCTAAAATTCGAGTTCCAATAATGGCAGTGTTGCGACAAAGTAAGTTAGGTAGTGATGGTTCGCCAGAGGTGGTCCAGCAAAGATATTCAAGCGGTGATCCAACGATAACAATCGTGTGGTGGTCCGATGACAAACTATGATGATCCAACGACAGTAGTTCGGTGATGGTGGTTCGCACTGGCTTCCAGGTGACAATTTGACAATGGAAATCAAGCGATGATTCAATGGCAACGATTGGTTGGTGAAATAACTATGACGATCAAGTGATAAAAGCATACCGTATAAATTACTAATAAAAGCATACGACAATGGAGTCTTATTTATATATTTTGGAAGTAACATACCGTATAAATATAACAATAATCTGAAACACTTCATCAAAGTTATCATATTGATTTTTTTTATCATAGATTATTCTTTTAATATTTAAGTGATTTAATGATGTCATAATTAAGTAATCATAGGTTTGCTAAATTCATCTCTTTGATACACCTAATTTGAATATAAACATGCAAAATGAAAAGACCATTTAGTCCAATCGATTCCTAATTTTGTTTTTGTGTGGTTCTTCCCGTTAAGTTGATCAATTTGACTATAAGTTTATTGAAATCTGAGTTGGTATGATCCTGAATTTAATTAAAAAATTTATAATTTATTTATATATAAAGATTTGTACCATTTTGTACGAATTTATGAAATTGCATTTGATCGGACCCAAATATAGAAATACAATGCTAAAACACTTTTTTTTTTATTTAAAATGTTTTACACGCTATGATCAATTTTTCTATTTCTTTCAATTTTTATTTTCTCAATATCAAAGAAAAAACCATACATTTAATTTAAAATTTTGACAGTTTACTTACATGAAATATAAGAATGATAAATATAATTTTCTTCTAATAAAGAAATACAAATTTAAAATAAGAATATTTTTAAATTTTTTCAACAACATTTAAAAAAATTAAATAAAAATATTATGTGGGAATAAAAATATGAGATAAATATAATATTAATAGATTATATATAACATTAATCTCAAATCAAATCTAATAATATTTTAATTTATTTTTTAGCATAATTTATATTACAAGGTCCTAAAATATTTTTTTTCTTTTTAATATAATAATCGGCTTCGATAAAGATAAATATATTTTTTCACCAATTTTGATCTCCTTCATGTACATAAAAAAAGTAATGCTCTTTTACCTAATAATATTAAAATAATTAAAAATGGAAGAGAATTAATACAAAATAAGAGTATGAGAAGATCACTTATATGAGCTCAAGAAAATAAATTCATTAAAAAAATGCAACATTATTCAAATGTTAGTATAATATAAAAAAAATAAAATAATAATAATAATTTAAATAAAATTAAATCCGATGGACATTCTTACACAAGTAGAAATTAGTCAAATAAATAAAGGCATGAATAAAATAACATAAGCTATCCCCATAATGATAATCACCTTTTAAGTATAAAGAATGAATAAATGATATAGATGACATTTAAATTATAAATATTTATAAATATAATTTATATTAAAAATGAATTATTAAATTCTTGTATTTTTTAGTATTTTTTTAAAAAAATTGAAAGAAAAAAAAAAAGTTAAAGAATTGTTATGAATTTTGATCTTTAGATGAAATTTTGATGAATAAAAATAAGAGAATGATTATTGTATAAACAAAATAAATTTTAATGTTATGCATAAAATTATCCCAAAAATACATAACCAACAATTCATAGTATAATAAATTTTTATTATCAATTAATATAGATGGTAAAATTTTAAATTTTATTATCAAGATGTTGAATTTATTACAGTAAAATGTTATATCAAGATGTTCAAATAAAACGTTGGCCTTTCGATAACCTGATTAGAAGATTAGATGTATTAGATCTGATCTATGTTAAGATAGGCAGGGTTTGACCTAAAAATATTTGGTTAGAAAGTATTAAAAATGATACTTTTTATTAGATTTAAATGAGTATTAGACTCTAAATATGACACAATGAAGAAAAAAGATTCATGCAACCAACCCCACATACTAGAATAAAAGGTTGATGATAATGTTGATATGATCAAGATGTTGAATTTGATTAAAAAAGGCCTATAACCATGATTTAGGGGACAGGATTATATCTTCAAAATCACAAATTTATTCATATATTTTAAAACTTTGGACCTATCATTAAGAAATGTGAATTTTTTTTTTAATGAAGCTTATTTTAGCCAATTGGTTGAGAGCTTCGATTTTCAGTTCAAATATCTTAAATTTAAAATTTATATATATGATGTGTGATTTTACGATCTAATTATCTCAAAGTACCCATCGAAGGCTTAATTAGGGTGGTTGGTGGGCAAGCACAGTTAGGAACCCCCTATCCCGGGTTCAAATCCTCTCTACTACGGCCTCATCTCTTCAGTGGACAAAATAATTAAGTGTTGGCCCAATGCTGGTGGGTGATCTCGCTAGGTTCCGCCAAGTGCTCCCTTTAGATTGGTAGCAGGTAGATAACATTGTTCCAAAAAAAAAATCTTTGAAATTTGAATTTGGACTTCACTTGTATTTATTTTATGCTTGGCCACTTACAATACTTTAATAAATACAAGAAGCCAGCTGCTCTGTCCTTATTCATTGAGCAACCACATGATCCTTGAGCCCAGCAAGAGAAAGCACCCCGAACCCACCTTCCCTTCCATTCTATAAGTTCTATTTAAGTACTTATAGATCAGCTAAAATAAGAAAAGAGAGAGAGAGAGAGAGAGAGAGAGAGAGAGAGAGAGAGAGAGAGAGAGAGATGCCATTGGACTCCATCAACGAGCAAATGGCAGCCATATCCCACTCCACCACCACCACCACCACCACTACCGACGACATCTTCGTCACAACCAACCCCACCGTCGCAGAAAAAGCCCACAAACATCAAGCAATATGCAACGGGACAGTCCAAACGAGCAACGGGCTGGCCCAAGCACCCAACGGCCCACTCACGTACACCAACCCATTACCACTAAAAGACCGTGTAGCCATCGTCACCGGCGGCTCCGGCGGCATCGGCTCGGCAATCAGCGTCCACCTCGCCACCCTCGGCGCCCGAGTCATTGTCTCCTATCTCGGCGACCCGACTCCAGCCGACGCCGTCGTCTTCTCCATCAACTCCCTCTCTCTCCCCCTCTCACCCCCGCGGGCCATCAAAGTAGAAACCGACGTATCGGACGAAGCCCAAGTCAAGGCCTTGTTCGACAAAGCCCAACAGGCCTTCGGCCCACAAATTCACATTCTGGTTACCACTGCTGGAATCCAAGATCCAACCTATCCTCATATAATAAACAGCTCTGTAAACCAGTGGGAAAGGGTCTTCAATGTGAACGCGAAGGGGACTTTTATGTGCTGTAGAGAAGCGGCGAGGAGGCTGGTGAAGGGAGGCGGCGGGAGGATAATAACGATGTCGTCGTCGACGGTGGGATCGATACGGGAGGGATACGGAGCGTATGCGGCGACGAAGGCGGCGATAGAGGTGATGACGAGGGTGATGGCGAAGGAGTTGAAGGGGACGGGGATTACGGCGAATGCGGTGGCGCCGGGGCCGATTGCGACGGCGATGTTTTATGAGGGGAAGACGGAGGAGAAGGTGAAGGCGGCGTCGGAGTTGAGTCCGATGGGGAGGTTGGGGGAGCCGAGGGATGTGGCGCCGATGGTGGGGTTTCTGGCCGGTGATGCTGCAGAGTGGATTAATGGTCAGGTTATAAGAATTAATGGCGGTTATGTTTAGTTTAGGAGAAATACGGTGATGTTTTGCTTATCAGTATTTTATTATTATTTTTTTTTTCTTTCTAGTTTGGAAGAGCGGGTTGGCGCTTTGTTTGTTTTGATGATTATGTTATCTTGCTGTGAGTTCTGCGATTTTAATGATTATGAATCTGAATTTTTTTTTAATATTTAGATCATAAATTCAGATGCATATAGTCAGGGGCGGAACCAGCCCTAATTTTCACCGGGGGGGGCAAACTTATAAGATATATATGTCTGGGGTCCAAGGGGGCAGTGTCCCCTGGCGGGGTTCGACCTGTTAAGGGCAATTACCTAAAGACCATAGTATTTTAAAATTTTTAGGGGGGGCAATTGCCTGAAAACCCTTATAATTAAGACTAAAAATAAATAAAAAGGGATAAATTATCTAAAACACCATATAAAAAAAATTTAAAAAAAATTTTGAGGGGGGGCAATTGCCCCCCCTGGAACCCATTGGGTTCCGCCATTGCATATAGTATACATAAAATTTGAACTTAAGGTCTCTTAATTAGTAGTTAAAACTCTCAACCGAAAAATCAAGATCTTGTTTGTTTCATCAATTTTTTTTTTTTTCCTTTCTTGTTTAGAAATGGAGAAATTATTTTTTGGTCACTGTCTGATAAGACATTCTATAGAAATGCTTTTTCGGACACTTCATTTTTCTATTATTTTGAAAAGCTTTTTGATATTTGATTATCTGTTAGAAAACTACATTCTCTTAATCATTATTTCTAAAACTCTTTTACAAAATGAAAGGTAGAATCAAACCAAGTCCAAGTTTTTTTTTTTAATTTATTTATTTATAAACAAGCCCAAGTTGAGAATCTATATTTTGGATATGATGATTTAGGATTTTTTAGAGATTATTTTTTATTTTTTAAATATTTTATTTGATGCAATTTTATTTTTTAATAAAACTATTTCATAAACAATCAAATTAATTTTAAATTATGTTAAATACCTTCAAAATTACTATCATAAATCATTACCTTACTTAGCAATCACCACCGTCATCACATTAACTAACTAATTTAGACTTCATTTGAAACGATTTTTTTATTGCTTAAAATAAAGGGAGATTTACATACATACCATCTTATACTACTCTATTTACATATTTAACACTTAAAACTTTAATATTACATACATACCACCCATAGTTCATTTTCATATCAAATATGAGTGGTAGAAATGAAATATATGAGTGGTAGGAAAGAAATATAAATGGTATATTTGATATTAAAATAATATAATGTGATATGCATGTAATATTAAAATTTTAGATATATAAATAGGATGTTATAAAGTGGTATGTATGTAAATTTCTCTAAAATAAAATTATAATATAACAATTTAAATTTTTTGTACTAAAATTTTATTTTAAGAATTAAAAAACTATTCCAAATAAAACCTTGATATTATATACATATCAAATACATTTTTTATATAAAAATAAAATAAATAATGATAAAAACAATCCCAAAAAATCCCTTTATATTATTATCCTAAATAGAGAATGTAAAATGATATTAATGCATTTTAAAATTTGCTTGGTTTGAAATTTAATTAGTATAAAACATTTCCAATACAACAATTTTAAAATGTTAATATTTGATTTGACATAAAAGAAATGAATGTTAAATTTTAAAATACTTTAAATTACCCTCTAATTCAATCTTAGCACATTCAAAATAATTTAATTTAACTAAATTCTAATTATATTGCAAATTTAATCATAATTCATTACTTACTGTCCACTACTAGCAGCAACTATTACCTCCATATTATATCCATTTTAATTCAAATCAAATAAAAATATTAATTACTTATACTTATTTTATTTTAAATACATAATATTTTTTTACACATACTAAAATATTTACCAGAGACTTATTGTGTTGGATCTTAAGATTCTGCTTCAAAAGAGAGCAACGAAAGAAGACCGGAAAACATAATAATCGTCGCATCATAGGCCTCTTATTTCACCAGCAAAATAAATACAGGAAAAAAGCAAATACGAACGATAATTTCAGCTTCATATAGACGAAAGGCATGGGCTCCAGTTTCCCGACATGATCACAAAACTTCAACTTTTGAAACTATAAAAGACCTCTGATTCCTATAATATATATATTATATGGCAGAAGCAGAATCACTTAACGCAGAAGAACATCCAATAATCTGCCATTTGCATCAAAATTAGCAGGACTGGCAGTGTAGTAATGGTAAAAGTAGCTGCGATGGGTAGAAAACTACTTTCCTTTGCTGGAGGTGCTGAAACTGAAAATTTGTAGCTAAACGAAAGCTTTTTTTCTGGCAGCTGAAGGTCACAAAAACTCTGAAATCGCAAGAGAATTTGTTCTTGCAGGTTAGAGAGTTGAAAGCCAGTCCAGCACTCGGAAGGTTATTAGGACCGGAGATAATTAGCACAGCCAAACCAATTTGGAGCTTCCGATGCTTGGAAGGAAAATTTCCGTTTTAATAAACGGAATAAATAATGAGGGCTTGATTTCTCAGTAGTCGCCGGCCTCAAAAAAAAGTAATTGAGGTTGCAAATGCCCCCTTTCGCACACATTAATAACATCATCCCAACGACCTATAACCTGGAAGCATTAAATACTTTGGTTTAAACTTAATACGATAATGTGAATTAGTGCAGAGAGACAGAAGAATATTATATTATAGGGGCGGGATTTTAGTTATGGTCGCAAGAAAATTTCTTGAAGATAACATTCATCTATAGAAATTCTCCCAAACCCGAAAAATTATTATGTACGGACACCGAATGACGTCCAGAGAACAGTAAAAATGCACCACGTCACGCTTTTACTGTACTGCGGCTCAGTACTGCTCGGTACCAGTACCGACGCTAGGTACCGCAGCATCCGGACGTAGAGTTGCATCCGGCGTCCGCACAGAATAATTTCTCCCTAAATCCAGCCAGATCACACCACCGCATGCGCCAATACCAACCTTTTTCAATTCTATGAGTTGGTATAGACAACTTTCTTTAATTTCTTCTCCATTTTCCAGATCTACATTAGCTCTAATTAGCAAATCATGAAAAGAATGACAACAATCTGGCATTTAAGCCCTGGATAAGTGATTATTTTTTATAGAATTTGACAACAAGCCATCATCATCACAACCCTCCCACTCAAATTATAGCCCCACAGCACCAAGATACTACTCATTTAAAATCCTTTTTAGTTATAGTTGGAAACAGTTGTTTAATTCCTATTTCCATTGCATTAAACCGCAAACAGTACTAATTAGCCATATTGGCTAATTATATATATATATATATATATATATATATATATAGTTTTTTTTTTGCCCATTTTGATCATTTTTCCATTTTTAAAATTTTTATTCAGCACAAAGATTACCTTGACAGTCTGGTCATCGTACATAACCCAACGTTCACGTTCATAAGCAAAGCAATGATAATGTTGCCCATAATAGCATACCTAAACATTGAAGGAGAAAGAAAAAGTTAATATGAGTACCAGACTGAAATCAAACCTACTGCATTCAATATATAACGGCTTTGCTAAGAAGGAAAATTGGCTAAGACAAAGTCATTTGAGTTGAGCAGTCGCTTCCACAGAAACATAATACACGAAATAATAACCAATGGATCATAGGATTATCAATCAAATATGATGAAATTTCTGATGTTCAACTGACCTCAGCAAGTTCAAGACAAGTATTCCAATGCTTCTGTTACTGCTTTTAACTTATACTAGTATTGAATCTTTTTTATGGAGCAATTTGCTCACTGAATGCACCAAAATGCTATTTACTGCTATAAGATGACTTCGCACTTTAATAAATGATTTCCAATCTCCAATGCTTCTTTACAATTATTTAATAGCAAGACCAGATGTTTATTAAGGAAGAGATTAGAAAGAACATTTGGAATTTCGAAGTACCAAAAATGGTGCACCAATTGCCATGATTTCTGCCAAGAAACAAGCTGCAATAATTTATGAATAAATAACTAATAATCATGGTTATTGTTAAGGAATGAACGTTTAATATGAACCTTTAGGTTAAAATGTAGTACAAGGAAATCAATGGTGACAAAAGAGTAATCCAATTGTACAAGAACTATTCTCCCGGAAGAAAGGTGTAGAAGAAACATTGCCTTGGAACGAAGTTGCAGAAAACAAATAGACGTTGAAAGTGGAGAATATAAATTTTCTTATTTTCAATTGGGTGACAAATACACTTGTATGAGAAAAAATACAAGGGCAATTCTCATGTTGGAGGGGGGGAGGGAAGAAGGAAAGATATCAAACGAATAACATAAATTTAATTAAAAAAATGAATAAAGGTATGAGGTATTCCCACATGAGCAAACAGACAGCCATTACTTATAATCCAGAGACCTTTATTTGGAAACAAGTTGAATAGTGAAAGGGCTCGTGACCAATGGTTAAAGGAGAATGTTTCATCTCCTAAATCATAGGTTCAATTAATATATTTTATGATATACCGTTTGGTGTTCTTAAAATAAAAGAAAAAAAATCTGAATATTACAGCAATTTCTGGAAATTGTTTGAAAATTAAAGAAATTTCTTAAAAACAGGATATGCCAATGAAAACAATTTGAATAGGTTGGACAATTTAGATCATCAGAATTCCGGAAATGGATGACTGAATATTAGTGCAATTTTTGGAATTATAATGAGCACCATTTGGGCCGGTCATCAGAATACCAGAAATGATGGCTAAATATTAACGCAATTCCTGGAATTAGAAGAAGCTTCACTTGAAGGGTTGAACATTAATGTGAATCATTGGAATTTCTTCTAAGACTTTCACTTCCCTTCAAGCTAGGAAATTAAATAGTCAAATTGATCTTTGTTAAGAGCTTATGTCATAATGTCAGCATTTAGTAATTTAGTTGGAGTGTAAGCAACCTTGATAATCTTGTGTTCAATTTTTCTCTGTAATAAAGTACCTATTATTGTCAACATGTTAAGTCCTACCATGATGACCTAAGTTTTTAGCAATGATACTAAGATTTGATTGTTATAATGTATCATTATTAGATCTTTAGTAAAAAATTGTACCCCTTCAAGAAGACGTTTAAGCCACATCCACTGACAACTTCTATGGGTCATGGCCCAAAATTCAGTTTCAGCATTACTGTGAGCAACAAAAAACTATTTTTCAATTCTCCATATAATTAAATTCACCCCAAAAAAAAATTAAAAAAAAAAACAAAAAAAATAAAAAAAATAAAAAATAAATAAAAAATTTCACCCCAAAAAATAGCAATAACCTGATCCAATTGGAGGGGGAGGCCAGCCCAGCCATCTGGTCCAGCATGGACCGAACCAGCCATCTGGCTGGACAAAACCTTAAGCAAAAAATAAGAAAATTTTGGCCTCGCTTGTGGGGCCCAGCAAACTTGTGATTCATGATGTTAAGAAGGGGAATAAGGAGGAAATTATTTATGGAAAGATTTCCAATTTAGATTTAAATAAGAGATATATTATTTAGGGATATTTCCTAAAATATGTTTAATTATTTAGGAAAGTTTCTTAAATTATGTTTATTCTTTTAGGAAGATTTCTTAAATCATGTTTAATTATTTAAGAAAGTTCTATTTATGATTTCGTGTTTTAGGGCTATTTAAGGGGGAGTTGTCTATGGTTTATAGGAAGCTATTGCGGAGTTTTGTGTTTTGATGTAGTTCTTTTCTTTGAGGGCTTCTTAGCGATGTCTAGGTTGATTGAGAGAGCCGATCTACCTCTCTAATCGTAGATCACTTGTATCTTATCTTTTCCTTCATATATAATCCAATAAAAAGTGTTCTTGAGTGTTATTCATCATTTACTCGACCATTTTCTATTTTTTTGAAATTGAATATTCAACTAAAGTTTTCTTCAAGTTCTGTATCTACTTCATATCACAACCTTATCAACTGAAACATTCATATCACTTGATGTCTATTTATTGGTCTATACAAGATATCTTAATAAAAAAGCAAATAATTACAGAATCATGCATAATTGCCCAAATATAATCCTTACTAAATTAGTCACCTAAATCTGGAAGGAGATCAGTGTGATCCAGGTGAGCCTCCCACGGATTCTCATCCTAGCCATGAGATCAAGTGTCAAGGGCGGCTGGGATTTAACAAAGATTGGCGTGATCCAAGTAAGCCTCCCACGGATTCCCATTTTGATTGTGGGATCAAGTATCAAGGGATAGTTGGGATTTAACATGAGGGACCCAACAACCATTAATTCCATATAACCACAAGACCTATCTGGACATGTAGAATAGCAGCTAGACAAAACAGGTGGAATATTAATGAATTCCAGAAATCCCAAATTGAATGCAGGATATGCCAATGGAAACAATTTGAATTAGCGTGTCCATTCAGAACAACAGAATTCCGGAAACATATGGCTCAATATTAATACACCTTTTGGAACTATAAGGAGCATTATTTGGAAGGCTGGTCATCAGAATTCCAGAAAAGGATGGCTGAATATTAATGCAATTCTTGGAATTAGAAGAAGCATTTGAAGGGTTGAAAATTAATGTGAATCCCGGAATTACTTGAGGATTCCCACACAAGGCAAGAATTCTTTATAGGAGGTGAGAACAATTGGAAACCTTAAAAAACCCAACAATTTTTCTCAGCTTATTAATGAAAGAAATTGATCTAGAGTGCAATAATAAGCATTAACGTAGGGAATCATTTTCATCATCATCATCATTATATCCCAACTATTTGAGATCCATTTTATAAATCATCATTCTCAAGTAGGAAGGTGCTAAACCCATTTTGCACAAATCATTTTGCCCTTATATCCATGTTATATTTGATCTGCCACTTTTTTTTTCATAATCCTTCAGCATTAACTTTTTCTACAAGTCATTTTCCAAGCTCAAATCACTTAAGACTATTCTTCACCATCTTATCTTCATAGATGCCACTCCCTCCATTGGTAGAAATGATAAAGAATCTAATATTACTAACATAATACTGCAAAGCTAACATTAATCTTCAAATCATACGATGCCGTCATATTATGCCGTCAGGGAGTGGCAGTACCATACACTGGAAACCTGATATTAATCTTGAAATCTTACGGCACTGCTAGGGGCAAGAGATTAAATACTGCAGTACCATACAAATACATGAGAGCATATTTAACATAAAAGAAATGAACATATAATATTTTGTCAACATGAAGCACAATGCTAAATTGATGGAGTTGAGAATGAAAAAGATAAAGCATAGAGTAGATTTGTAAACCAATACAATCACTGACAGACTCATGGGGCATCCATATTTTATCTCAAACCTGAACTCTCACCTTTGTCAAACAAGGATCCAAGATATGCAGGAAAAGAAACAAGGGGAAACAAACAGCCTGCTAGATACAATGTGCCTCTATATCTAAGTATATGCATGTCCAATGTGTATCCAGTACAACAGGCATCTTTAAGTTCATGTGATGTCTAAGCATTCTCCAACTGTCAAGTGACAAGAATTTTTAAGTAGAAGACATACCCTATGCAGTTTGAGAAAAGTAGCCAGAATGAACTATTCACGGCAGCACGAAATAGGCACAAGTGTGGCTTGGCCCATGCTATTTTAACCAGATGGTATGCTATTTGCTGAAACCAGTGCCATAACTAGTTTGACATAAACAGTTAAACGGCAACTAAATTTTGAAACACAGTGGTTCAGACATTCATTTATATTCACCCACTAATAGTTTATGCTATTTTCCCATCATTCCGATGAAACCCGTCATAATTCTTGACATAAGAAAAAAGTGACGCTTGCATTCGACTTATGCTGCCCACATCAGTACCATTGAAAAGAAATTCAAGGTAATAGATAAATTATCCATCTCAATACCAACTTCGATATCAATGCCAACAATAACAACAACAATTTTATTCCTACACTTGCTACAGAAAATAAAGTTTAACATCTAATTCAGTTGAGTGAAAAGAACACAAATATCAAATCTGAAACTGAAAATCCTACTGAGATGAGCATAAAAAGCCATACCACTGATACCAGAGAGTGCTTCCTTCCTTTATTGAGACCGCTGTATAAGACACCTACATCAAATTCAGTCGTAATGGCTGCCAATGTAGCAGAGATATCATCTATACTTTCATTAGTATTCTGCCATCCCAAAACTGCAGAAGCAAACATTATAATTATGAGCACCTAATTTTACACATAAAGTCAGCATGCAAACAATAAGGGTGTAAATGCCTTCTGTAGGTCCCGTGACAAACATGCAACAATAGCAATAACAAGCCATTATCCAATTATATGGGGTCAACTACATGAATTCTTTTTCTTCATTGTGTAATATTAAGAGTCAAATTCCATTTAAATCTAATAAAAAAATGTCATTCCTAATACTTTATAAACAAGTCTTTTTATGTCTACCTTTACTAATACATCTACTCTTCTAACAGGGTCATCAAAATGCTGATGTTTTATGTAACCAAACCATCTAAGACAACTCTCTCTAATCTTACCTACCATTGGAACAACTTCAACCTTTTCACGTAGATACTCATTTCACATTATAAACCAGATTTGTTTAAAAAACATAGTTGATAAAACAAAATTCAAAATGGTTTTATGTTCTGAACCAGATTTTAGCACATAAATCACATATTGTTCCTTTGGTTCCAAATTAGCCCTAATCATAGTTGTCTATAAAGTATAAATATTATAAGACTTTAAGTCTCTTCACATTTTCTCAGCTAGGCCTCCATTTAAACAAACTTTAAGCAAGTTATTACACCCCTGAACAAAAATACACTAAAACAGTCTAAAGGACCGTAAATTACCGGTTATAAAAACATTTGGTGGTGCTGCAAGGATATGAAAGATAGAATTTAACTTTCCACACCCGCCAGACTCCATATTGCAAAGCAACTGATGATTCATATCCACAGTTTTTAAAAGCTCATCAAATGAACTGTCCACAGAAGCAATCTGTACAAAAAGAACTGAGAAAGTTTTGACCGATGGTTCATAGGAAAATGGAAGTCTACTAATAATGTAAAAGGAATTCACGTAACAGACTGCTAGAAGGAAAAAAGAAAATATAAATCATGCCTTCATTGTCCTGAGTGCACTTGCATTGATATTATGAAAAAAAGTGGTATATTTAAAGTGCCTTGACTCCATGCCGCAGCTAGAACAGTTCATCCGTTCAAATATGTCCATTCCAAATAAATTATGTGCTATACAAGTAGTGCTATCACAATCCCAAGTGCCCATAAGGTTGCTTTCTTCTGATTCAGTATCACATTGAGTAGAACGTGTAAATGATTTGTGCAAGCAGTCAAAGATTACACCTAACACCTCAGAAGCGTCATTCATCTGAGCCTGTAAAATTAAATGCAAGTAAATATATAAATCCGAATTAACCCTACAGAGTTCATTGGGAGAAAGCTTGATTTCCTATCCCAGTGAATTTCTTTAGAAAAGCTTTTAAGTTTAAAGATGACTAGATCAGTTAACCTGCTGGAAGAAATTGCTATCAGGATACAAGTTGCTCAATGCTATCCTCAAATGTGTAGGTGTAACAGCTTCCCTTTGGCTATCCCCAGATGCGTTGTTCAAAGCAACAAAGATATCATGCAGTGCACAGACAACACAGGGATCCCCAACATGTGCGTGCACTGATGATCTCATCAAGAACTCATCTCGAAATCTCCTTAAATGCCACAATGACTAGTTTGACAGAATCAAAGAGCGTTATTAGACAATGATATTGTATTACGTTCTTGCAAACAAGGAAATAGTAGAACTCATAATTACCTGGATTATTACATTCAGAAAACAATTATATTCACCAATTGCATTCGTTAGACCAGTGCCATAAACATCTTTGTCCGGAAAAGTAATGGCAGTTTCCTTAGTAGAGTTCCCCAACTCTGAAGATCCTTGCTGAGACGATCCTAAGACAGGAGCAAGAGGTAATTTCCTCTCTGCTTGAAAAGAATCTGAGAAATGCATCAACACTCAGCTACTACTCATCCAGGAAGGTTGAAAGTACTTGCCAATTATACATGAGATATTAGAGGAATGACAATACCCTTAGCAGCCAATAGACAATGATGATAAACAAGAATTATTATTATTATTATATAAGACAATGGGTTCATGCAGGAAGCTTGTAGGCATGAAAAAATAGAAATTTTATCTTACAATTGAAAATTTTCATCAGGAATACACTGCCATAACAGATTTTATGGCATAATGTGAAATTTATTAACATTGGTATCGGTATTGGCATATTGCCTAATGATCCGTTCTTTAAGTAAGAGATCACTTTAATTAAAATAAATACATAAGCAATTCAAGTAACAAAGTATGACAAGAAAGATGAAATTATGTGTGTGCGGTGGTGGTGGGGGAATAAACTAAAGTATGTGGAACCTAAGTTGAGCTTAATATAAATTTGGGTAAAACAACAATATCGCATATAATTCAAAATTTTATTAAGGGAAGGAAAAGCGTGTGGTCCAAAGCAATAGTACAATCAAGAATGGAAAATGAAATCTTCAAGAAAGAACACACCATAAAACAAGACAATATATGGTTCGGTGATTGCTCAGGAGATAATAACTGCACTAGTCCGAAGATCGATGCAATATACAAATATTTCTCACTTGTATTTCATTCAACTTCAGTACTTCTATTTCACTAGTATTTCTTCATCTCTCTATCATATTCCTTCCTTTCTCTTTCATTTTATTCACTCAATTGCTTTTCTTACTCTCCTCTCTTGTTCAGCAAACATCAATAAAACACACTTTTGTTTGTCATTTTATCAACCAGCCATTAAACCGACAAAAGGAACATTTATATCATGATGTTACAACTCTTCATTATATCAAAAGCAAACTTGTTTCTTATTTACTGGAACAGCATACCAAGGAATATTTTGAAACCCTTAACCAACTACCTCACATGCTAAAGTTAAATTGTAAAACTCGAACTTGCTCAGCCTCCAACCAATACCCACAATCACCAAACGGCTACTGCTCCTCAAACCGTTGGCTCCCGATTGGGCTAAACTTGCAATCCTTAACTGCCTAGCCAATCACTTAGTCGTTGGCCAAGCCTGTCAATCTTGCACTCGGCTTCCTATTATGCTAATCACCATCGACCCTTGAAGTATTGGCTACAAAAGTATACAGCCAAAAACTATGAATTTGAACATTGCATAATTTTTGTAACTTGTCCCGACTAACTACAAGTAGCAAGTACACCCTCTACCCCTCCTGCAACCCTTAATTTTGTAATCAATGTTCTCATCATCAACTCCAGTAGGCTTCGAAGAGGCACACAGCCTATTTATAAGTGATATTATTATTTCATTTTCAAACACCTTCCCCCTATAAACAAGTAGGGTTAGACCCTTGAGCATTTGTCAGTCATATCTCCTTGAGAGTACTTAATGCTTTTTACAACATTGATTTGACCACAACCAATTACCCCTCATGTGTAAATTCAACGAAGCAATCATTAAGAACTTTATGAACCAATTGCTTAAGAGTGCAAAATTGGCTTACTATCACCTATGATACACCGACACTTCTCCTCAAAGAGGCGTGCAATGTCCGACACCGTTTCCGACACGACACTCGTCCGACACTGCTCTGACACGTGTCAGACACGCCGAAAACGTGTCCGATTATAATATATTAAATACAAATTGGACACGCGTATCTTAAATATTTTATGAATATTTTTAAATATAATTTCTTGTATTTGGTGGGATTTAAACTAAATTTCTTATTTCCTATTCACAACACCAAATCAACGTCCGCACTTAATACCCAATCATCGAATATTCTCTTTTTCTTTTCTTTTTCGCAATGAAGGTATTTTCATCTCCTCTCTCAGTGACTGATAAACGACATCGACGCCTGACTCTCACATCCTAATACTAATCATTTTAAGCACAAATTCTAGTTAAATGACTTTTTATTTTCAAATTATTTTTAAAATTATACTTATTTAATTTTTATACACTATTTTTTAAATATATATATATATATATATATATATATATATATTCTGACATTCAAATTAATTCATAGATACAATAATTATTGGAGCCTTAACACGTAGAATTAGTACCTCTAAATCACCAATCCATCAAACATGTACAACGTGCAACACATTGACTCTGATAACTAATTGTTAAGAAGAAAATACTACTAAAATGACTATTATTAAAATGATGCTCTAGGAGCGAACCAAAATGATGCTCTAGCCGTAAGTATCACTTGCTTGCAAAGCATAAACTTCAGTGTGTCTAAAAAATAATAATAATAAAATAAAACATAAAAAAATAAAAAACGAAAACAAAAAAAAAGTAAAAATAAAAAAAATAAACTTGAGTGTGTCACCTCACTATCACATTGTATCATGGAGTTGCGTGCTTGGCTTAGACTCAAAAATTAACTTAAGTTTTCATGTTTTAATGCAGCACATGCTATAATAACAAAAGCATAAACATTTGTTTCTCCTTTTTGCTGATGAGTCGTAGTTCTCTATCGCTAGAGTTAGATTCTTCTTAGTGTTTCTCTTTATGCTTTTTGGTTTGTTGGTTTTCTTATGCACTTCTCGCTTTTTTTTATTTATTTTTTTGTTACTGATGCTAATTGCTTATCATGCACAAACTTTGAAAGGAAATACTCGTTTGCACAAGTAAACCTAACCCAAATCAAGAACCTAAGCAAAGAAAAACTACTGTCCGCAGCGAGTACACAGCCCAAACAGTGGAAAAACTGAGAGAAACGCAATAGAGAATCGTAGGGAAACAAAGCAAACACTTTTATTTCAATAATAAATGAAAAGCACTTGCAAGATACAATTTTCCTTCAATTCGAGAGGAAGGAAAAACTCTCCACTATCTCCGGCAACGCCAAGAGCCAAGACAAACCCTAGATCTCAAAAAGAAAACTCAAATTCAAGATGAGAGCCAATTCTCACCATAACTCCTCAATAAAGAAAAAGGACAATTACAAAATACCTAAAACAGCCCTTCATTCAAAAATTTCCCTCCCAAAATCGCATTAACCCCAAGTGGGGCCCATGGAGGGTTCCGCCCCCCTTGCCATTTCCGCCCAGCCAGGCTTCCGCCTGGAATAAACGTGGACCGGTCCCGGTTGGACCGGTCCAACCTGACGCCGGAGCTGAGCTAATCAATCATATTAAACTTCAGGCTATATTAAGTCCATTTGATAGTATGTGGCTATATATAAATATTGCTTTCTTTTATTGAGTGTAGCCTTTTATGCTTCGATATTTGTCTATATATACTTGTAGACCATGCTTGTAAGAGGAAGATTTTGGAGATTAATGAAATTAGAGTTTTCTCTCTTTTGAATTTCTGTATCCTAAGATTTTCTTAGGTGGTGGTTCTTGCTCCAAGAAGGAGTTCTTGGAGTGGTGTCCGGCAACCGCCACCGGATCGTCGACGTGGATTCGTCGAGCTCCTCCGGTCCGGTGTCATTTGGTATCAGAGCCAATCCCCCAAGTGTCTGGATTGGCGTCATCAGGTTCTTCTCGTTTCCGAGCAGCTCAGCCTCGAAAGAGCAAACCAGTAGTTGCCCAACTACCGAGGGAGTTTTTTGAAGTGACCTGTGGATTCGGGTTGCCCGAGTGGATCGTCCGTGAGCAGTGATCCTTGGCGAAAGTGCGTCTGGGATCCAAACGGGGACCGTCAAAGACTCAAGATTTTAAGCCCTGTTCGACGGTGAATGTCAGGCGTCATTCTGAAGATTAGGATCTGTTTTCGTGTGTTCACCCCTTTCTAGAACCTTCAAACGTGGCTGTCTTGCTGTTATCAGCCACCTTCACAACTTGTAGGACCCAACTGGAGTTATTCATATGCTGTCAACCTTCTTTTAGGTCATCATACTATTTCTTTCCTAAAGGACAACCCATTTCCCTCTCCACAACATCTCCAAGAATAGTCTGACAAGATGCCTCTTGGATGGACGTTACAGCGACCACTTCAAGAAGCCAAAATTGAAGACCTTCAATAAGAAATTGCCCTACTCAAACGACGATTGTCGAGGCTTGAACGAAGGAAGGACGTGAGCCCCCTTGCCCAGGACTTTGATGGCATTCATCCACGAGATGATTAGATCTCTTCTATCCGCGAAGACGTATTTGACAGACCACCTCGTCAGTCTTCTACCACACCTTCGATCGAGCTCGGCTTTGAAGAATTTGAAGATCCATTGCTGAATCCGTTGTCTTTGCCTCTCTATGATGAGCCGGTATACGACGTGTATGATGACGACATGTTCGGTGGAGTTCTTGATATTGATCAACTCGCATATGATGTTGATGAGGGAAAAATGGATAACCTACCGGAGCCAAATGTCCAACCGGAACTATTCATTCACAATGTTCCGAACAAGACAATAGTTACGCTCACCATCATTGATAAAACAATTACATGTAAAGATCTCCTCAATGGTTGGAATCTTGAAGCTCTTATCTTCTCCTCTAGATGGCTGAAAGAAACATCTTTGGTCCAAGATGCTTTCACAATCACAATTATTCCATCTGCTTATACTACTCTTGAGATATTGAAGGTTTGTAGACAAATGGACATTGGATGGACCTATCCAGACCGGTTTAGCCAACCAAATCCACCTCCTTATGGTGGCCAATCAGTCATCTTGTTATGAGCCTGAAGTTCCTCCTACCCCGGTAGTATGACGCCGGAGCTGAGCTAATCAATCATATTAAACTTCAGGCTATATTAAGTCCATTTGATAGTATGTGGCTATATATAAATATTGCTTTCTTTTATTGAGTGTAGCCTTTTATGCTTCGATATTTGTCTATATATACTTGTAGACCATGCTTTTAAGAGGAAGATTTTGGAGATTAATGAAATTAGAGTTTTCTCTCTTTTGAATTTCTGTATCCTAAGATTTTCTTAGGTGGTGGTTCTTGCTCCAAGAAGAAGTTCTTGGAGTGGTGTCCGGCAACCGCCACCGGATCGTCGACGTGGATTCGTCGAGCTCCTCCGGTCCAGTGGACCGGTCCAACCGGCCCCTACTGGGCCGGCCTAACAAACTTCTTCTCGAGAAAGCCAATAAATGTATCATTTATATGCTTCTTAGTTCTTTATTTTCATACTCACTCCGCACTTCCTTTGTCTCTTGGTCTCTTGTTGATCTCTCAATCTCACGAATATTTTTATTTCTAAAAATTCTTTCATCACTTCATTTTTATATCCTCGATTTTTTCTTCACTTTTAAATAATTGAAAAATTGCTATTATTGGTGTATCATTATAATAGGTAAATTTTGCTTCTTGATGTGGTTTATGTTTGGTTAAATATATGAATATTATAAGTACATTATGTATATATATATATATTTTTTTTTTCTTTTTCTTTTTCTTTTTTTTGGGTGTGTGTGATTGTTCAAATCTAATTGCATAGATAAATATATGTATATATGATTATATGCATCCATGATTACAAACAAATATTTTTTGATATGATCTCGAGCTAGTTTAATTTGATTCATATTAAGATCAATTTAAGTTTGATTCAAGTTGAAATTGGTTCATAAGTCGACTTGTTTAGTTTGGCCAAGCCAAAAACTGATCTAGTTTGCAAGTTTTCTATAATCTTCAAACAAATCCATAGTGTAGAAGAGTCAATTTATCTGCATCAAAGAAAACAAACTTGGAATGTTAAAAATAGCTCAGTAGGAATTACAAACAAGAGACTAAACAAAAAACTCTACTAAGTGTGGAATAATCAAATTTGAATGACAAATTCAAACATGCAGATAAATTAATCAAAATAAGTAAATCTAAAAAGTAATAATTTTGATAATCTCTTTGCTTTCAGTACTGATAATCATGAAGATATCCTGAAATAAGCTAAACACGTAATGAATTAATATAGAATAATAGAGGTATTTGAGTAAAATCAAACTAGGTTTCTACATCAACCCACTCAAATTTTAAATGAAGATAGAATATGGAGAATTATAAATAACTTTTTTCTTTTTTGAAGAAGAGGAGGATGGTAGGATGGAGGCATCGCATACTAAAACATGAGGATGTGAGCTTTTACAAACCAAGGCTTTGGCGTACTGCTTTTTCAAGATCTTCCTGGAATCTTACATCTTCATCATCAACAACGGGCAATGAATTGAATGCCTTCATTTCATCATGTCCTATTAATACAAAAATGACATTCAATGAGCAATGCACGATAAAGTTAACCCTTTTGCCTGATATGTGCAATATCATAAGAATACACAAATAAGATATAACCAGCAAGAGGCATCAAACTCAAATCAATCAATGTGAAAGACAAAGGATAAATAACCGATCTCTTTTGAAGTAAATGATATGGAAAATTTTTAAGGAAAAAATATTTTTGCTTTCCTAGCATATTTTCAGATATATTACAATAGAAAAAATTACTTAAAAGGAAATGCTCCCAATGGCCTTCATTTCCTAACCCTTCACCAATTCCATTCTATTTTTTCCCTTCTCCTATGCTAAATCATCTGTAAATAACATCAAAAGGCACTTCATTGTACTAGTGCTTTGAACAAATAGTCCGGGAATAATTTCGGACCACAAATAAATTAATCTACACCATCATTGGTCTCATACTCTCATCAGAAGTAGCCATCAACCTTCTGAACAAATATTAGAATTGTACTCATTCAAGAGCTAGTTTACTTGAATAATTGGGGGACCCAATTATTACTTTTATATAATTGGTGATTATTTTGATCTTAAAACAAAATTAGCTCTATTAGTATAGAAACCGTAAGCAAAATCTATTTATTCCTTATCCATTTGATCAAACCTTAATGTCTAACATTTTTAGAAGACTAAGGTGATTTTCACCACACTTGATTGGCGTGAAAACCTAATCCAAAATCAGCCAATGATTTATAAATTTATTTCCTTGCCATATCCATACAAAAGTATATATATATATATATAATTCCAAACAATCAACCAAAAATGCTGCAGAAACATCTGACATACAGCAGGTGAAAAGCTACTCGAACATCTGGATTTATGAAATTGAAAGCTTGAAGCTATTACTGCTGCGCAGATTCTGACAGCATAAGGTACTGAATAAAGATTACAAACCCACTTCTTCTACCGATAATAGTGAAACTGCATCAACTATGTCTACTATGGATTTCAAGTTGAAATGGAAGTCTCAGATTCAAAAATAAAGTCCAGTAAATCATGGTAACGTGTTTATCAAGGGCTGCAATTTTTTTTTTTTAGTTAGCAGTAGTCAATGTATTTCCTTTTTCCTTTCTGAGCTGTATCTGGTAGGAAAGCTGGGCTAATTTCCGATAGTCACTGCCTTCTTTTCCCGTATAATTGAATCAGGAAACTTTTCTGCATTGCATTAAAACGTGCAGGACCTAACCGATTAGGTTTGCACCTAGATTCATGTATTTGAATTAAGAGAATAAAAAAGAAGAGTTTTGTTCCCAATTTCCTCTATTTTTAACAGGAAATCAGAGCAAGAGATTAAAAGCAAACAAGCAAACACCCTAGATTTACATACATACCACTTTATTCTATGCTATTTACATATCTAACACCTAAAATATTAATATTACATGATTAACACCCACTGAACAAATTTGGATGCATGGAATGAAATATTAAGATTTATAGGATTGTATGAATGGTATAAATGAATTATAGAAGTGGTATATTTGATATTAAAGTTGTATATGAGTGGTAGTCATGTAATATTAATGTTTTGGGTGTTAGATATGTAAATAGTATGAAATAAAATGGTATGTATGTAAATCTCCCTAAAATTAAATAAGCTAATGTTAGCAGTATATTTTACATAATTTAAATTTGTGGAAGATCTCTAAGTAAATCTTAAGATTTAAGTGTTAAATATGTAAATATATGAGAATTTAGTGGTATGAACGTAAATCACACTTCCATCTATTATCAAATCAAAAGTCAACAATAAGCAAATATAATTTTAGTTTTTATATTTTAAAATACCTTAAATAGTTGATAAATGAAAATATTTTGTAGATCACACTCTCACAAGCACAAATATCAATGGGTTGTGTAGATTTCATGCTAAAATTGGCGGGCTTGTTAAGTGGTGCCAAACAACTTGGAGATCATGCGTTAACTCATAGAGTTGCTAAATGATTTAAATTACCAAATCCAGGATCTCTAATTGCAAAAATATATACCACAAAGGAATTTAAAAAGCAGGGGAATGTAGATGTTACCCACAAGTGGAGATGAGATCACCACTTGCTGAAGATGATTTGATCGCTTCAGTGGTTTCTTTTCTCTTCGTGTGCTTTGTGCCTGCTAAACTCCTTGGATGCTTGCCAATAAACAACCGAGGAATCTAACTCTAATACAAAATTTGATGGGTTTGTGGCGAGAGGACTTAGATAAGAAAACATGCTAGGAGAATACCTTTGAATAGGTGGGGGATAGATGAATTTATGATGTGAGGTGAATTATGGGTTGGTCAAGAGGTCAAGTTATTAGGGAATTGATTTGTCATGGTTGCAAGAGGAGAACTTATAAATGCTTTTGAAGGCTATGACCAAGAGTGCAGAAGGCAATATTAGGATTTAGGGATTGAGTGAGGATTGTGTAATAGCTTGGGAAGTGCTAGAAAAAGGCTTGCCGAGGTATTGTACTGTTAACGTGAGAGGAATTATCAGGATTTTAGTTTTTTAGGTGCAGAGGGAACATGATGGAGAGTCTTGAGAAGTTGTGAGGTGGTTTCTAGGGTAATAAGAGAGTAGAGGGTGACAGTTTAGATTGATGAAGGGTAGAAAAATGGGAGAAGAAAGGGATAGAGAACACAAAGATAACTAAAATTCACCAACGTCCAAAGGTCTTGGATTGGCCACCAAACTTCATCAAAGGGGATCAATCAACTTTGTAATTCATTCAATAATCCATATTTATATAGAATACAAAGCTAAAATACACAATTCCATTTGTTGAGGTTCAACCAAGGTAAAAAAAGAAAGGAAAGTTATTTCAATTGCAAACAAATCTTCATATTCTTATTTTGAGTGGCTGAACAAGGGGATTTGGAGAGAAATTTAATGCAAAATTACAAATATTGATTGCTTGGAGGGAAAATGAGGGTTGAACATGCATGTATAAACGGTTGAGATGCCTTGTAATTTGAGTATTTGTTAAATTCTAGGATGAAGGGGCCAGCTAGGTCATGATCAAGCGTTATTGCTTTGAAATTTGGAATGATAGTGATAGTGATGATATATAATATTGCTAGTGTTTGTATCCATGCCATGATCTTGTGAATATACTGCATCAATTATCCTACTCATGATTTCGTTGGGTTGTCAAATGTTATTAGTGTAGCATGCAAAGTGGATAAAAAAGAGCAATTCAGGACATGATAATTCCTAGGTTACTCTATACTTGGTCCGGCAGAAAATAAAATTTGATTGCTTTGTTAACTGCAAAAGTTGAGTATGTTGTTGCAGCGGGCTATGTTCCATAAATCCTATGACTGGCAATAATTAGAAGATTATGATATTCACTTGGAGCATATACCCAATAAATGTGACAACACGACTAATTAATTCAAAAAAGAATATTACACAACACTCTATCACCAAGTATAAAGAAATTACACATAACTTCATTAGATATCACGGAATAAAATTTTATGTAGACATAGTATTTTCACCAGGCCTTTAGCTGAGATTCAACCGTATAAAAAGAAAATTATGCATGCTGGACCCTAATGTATGTTTTTATTGGTAAATCTAAATTTGAATTATTTCATGATTGTTTCTTCATTTTCTTGTATTTTATAAAAGTATTGCAAACTCCTATTTCCAAAATAAATATGTTAATGAAGATGTTTAACATTATGCATACATTACCAGAAACAAATATATGCTCAAACCTTTGATTACTTCACCTATCAATAACATGTATACATTTATTCATTATTTAAAATTGCGCAATCTGAGACTCGTCCTGAGGCCCACCTCATAAAAACCTCCTCGAAGCTTATGCCTCAAGCTTCTTTTATGAGGCGTGTGCCTCAGTTTGGCTTAAGCACACCTCATCTTGGCTTAAGCACGCCACACCCTATTTATATATTTTTTATTTAAACTTATCTAAATCTTAAATTAAAGCACCGAGCAAATCACGCTTTCATGCACCCCAAAGCCCTACTAGCTCCCTTCATGCACCCCAAGGCCGTAGCAGCTTCCTCTTGAGTTTTTGTGAACTCTTCTATCTACTTGGGCTCTCAATTAGCTATACATCAGTGAATCTATTGTCAATCTTCATAATCATACACTAACATCATACGCACACACTCGTGAATGGATTGGAATTCCAAAATTGAATGATTCTCAACAAAACATAATTTCCCCTCCAATGTGTGTTTGTGGCATAGCCATCAAAATAGAGTATTAAGTTTAGTTCTGAATAATGGATAACTTGAGCATCTAGACTATATTAAAGTAAACATGGTAAAAAATAGAAGCATAGGCTCAAATTGTGAATGAGAACAATTTTGGCTTTGTTTTGGTCCCCATGAACAAATATACTAGAATTTTTTCAACTATTAAATGGTACTTCCGCGAATTAGGAAAATCGTCCTGAAGAAAGGTATATGCTTGCATAATAGACTAGCAAGAATTTTACTTCTAAATTTATTTAAAAACAAGTTATAATTGCCAAATTGTAGTTATTCTCTTTGCATTATTCAACTGAGAGTTTGAGACTAATTTTGTAGGTACTTGAATACTACATGTGATAAGCTACACATGATGTTACACTAAAGCTCCAACTCGGCACATTTTAATCGATGCAGTGGGCTTTGAGTGTCTTAAGAGGTAGCTTTTATTTGGTTAGAGGAAAAGAGAAGCTTTAAAACCACTGATCGTACTGGCATAAGCTGGGAAAAAAACGCTTGAATATTTGATCTAGTCTCTAGCTTTTATTTGCTTAAGCTCTAATTTCCGGCTAGAGATTAAGAGAGTAGGATCTTCCTCTCCAATTGAAGATGCAATTGTATCTTGATATTTTCTTTCATCTATTATCAAATTAAAAGTTCTTCCCTATGTTATTTCTCTGTTTTTCTCTCAAAAATTGCTTGGAAGTGTGCCAGATTGTTGATTTCTACAGTAGAATTTTGTGTTCTCTCTTATTTCCTATCAAATTGGATATTCAGAAGACGGCCTTTAAGACACACGAGGGGCACTACAAGTTCTTGGTGAAGTCATTTGGCCTTACTAACGCTCATGCTACTTTCTAGTCCCTTATGAACTGGATGTTCATACCGTACCTCCAGAAATTTGTATTAATTTTTTTTTATGACATACTTGTATTAGTTGTATATAGCAAGACTAAGGAGGAGCTTCTAGAGCATTTGAGAGTGGTCTTAAGAATTCTACAGGAGCATCAACTAAGGATCAACCTGAAGAAGTACAGCTTCGCATAGACTAGTGTGGAGTATTTGGGGTACGTGGTGAGGGGTACATCAACATAGCCTAGCCCTTGACAGAGCAACTAAAGAAGGATTGTTTATTGTGGGGAGATGCATCTACCCAGGCTTTTGAGAGACTGAAAAAGGCCATGACCACAGTGCCATTTTTGGCAATACCATATTTCAGTCAAACTTTTGTGGTAGAGACAAATGCATCATGAAATGGGTTGGGTGCAATGCTCATGCAGAACCATAAACCCATAGCCTACCTTCAATAAAGTGTTGACAACCAGAAATAAGATGAAGTCAGTATACGAGAGGGAATTGATGGCCATCGTGTTAGCCATTCAGAAGTGGCGTTCATACCTGCTGGATCGGCACTTCATCATACTGATAGACCAGAGGAACTTAAAATACTTGCTCGAGCAGAGAATGATGACTGAGGAACATCAGAGGTGGTTGTTCAAACTAATGGGATACGATTTTGAGATCCAGTACATACCAGGATTGGAGAATAAGGTGATTGATGCCTCATCAAGGTGTGTGGGAGAGCTCCAAGAGATGGTCATTTCAGTACTACTGATGGTAGATTGGGGGGGGGGGGGGGGGGGGGGGGGGGGGGGGGGGGGGGGTATCAAATAAGAAGATTAGGAGGGGTTTATTAAAAGAAAGGAGCAGCCACCCAGATTACTCCCTCGAGCGAGAGAGGCTATTGTACCCAAAGAGATTTGTGATGCCACGAAACTCTATTCACATTCCCAACCTGCTGCAGGAGTTCCATGGGAGCACGGTTGGAGGTCATTCGGGGGTGCAGAAGACATAGAAGATTAGCAGCTGAATTGTACTAGAAACTGATGCATAAGGATGTGGAGGATATGGTGGTGAGGTGTGAGGTGTGCTAGAGAAATAAGTACATGGCTATGGCTCCAGAGGGTTATTTCAGCCCTTAGCACTTCGAGACAGAGTATGGGAGGAGGTGTCCATGTATTTCATAGATGGTCTACCATGATCTGAGGGATTCAAAATGATTATGGTGGTGGTTGACAGGCTATGTTGCACCGATACGGATACGATGACACGTATACGACACGATACGGATACGAGACATGTTAATTCTTAAAAATATAGGATACGGGTATGACGCGAACACGACATTATAATTTATAAATCATACATAAAAATTAAGAAACCAATCAAAGCATAATATTTGAAATTAAAAAAAAAATTACAACAAAATCATTTGTAGCCTTGTAGCTTATAATATCAAAATATAAGTAAGCATTAAATGTCTTGTAAAATAACAAAAGCATAAACATAAATTATTTAGCACATGAAGTTTCAACTATTCAATAGAAGGAATGATATAATTATCTTCTTCATTGGTCTGTCTTTGAACTTCTATATCATCTTCAATAAATATCATAGCTTCTAATTCAGGCTCATCAAATGAACACTTACAAAAAAAAGGCTCATCAAGTGAAAGATTAGTAATTTTTAATATTTTCATATCATCAAGAGACTCAAATCTATCTCGGAAATGAGAGAATCTTGCTCGCAACCGCGGAAGTAAATACGACACGTATTTTTTTCGGATTTCTTTTTGTTTTTCAACGGACACGCGTATCGAATACGCATGTCCATTTGAAATTAAATAGTATTTTAATTGGATACGGGTTTGGCGTATCCGACATGTATCAGTGGAGTATCAGAGGTGTATCCGTGTATCGGATACAGCACGCCTTCATAAATAGGTGTATCGATGCAACATAGTTGACAGGCTGAGTAAATATGTGCATTTCATTCCCTTACGACACCCCTACACCGCAGTTACAATAGCTGCAACATTCATCAGAGAGGTTGTCAGATTACAAGGGATCCCAGAGTCGATATTCTCTGACCGAGATAAGGTGTTTCTCAGTCAATTTTAGAGGGAGTTGTTCAGGTTGCAGGGTACAGTTCTTAAGAGAAGCACCACCTACCATCCTCAAACGAACGAGAAAACAGAGGTAGTCAATAGAACTTAGAGACTGACTTACAGTGTTTTGCGTCAAAAACACCACGGATGTAGGCCAAGTGGTTAGTATGGGCAGAATATTGGTACAATACATCGTACCACTCAGCTTCTCAGATGACTCCTTTCAAAGTGTTGTACAAAAGAGACCCCCCACACTTGATGCATTTTGGGCAGGGAGCACAACAATCTCCTCAGTAGAGCAATACTTGGAAGAAATGGATAGGGTGTTAGAGGAATTGAATAAACACATGTTGAGGGCTCAACAGATCATGAAGAAGCATGTTGATGGACACAGGAAGGACATTCAATTCCAAGTGGGGATAAGGTATTTTTAAAACTACAGTTTAAAGATAGAGGATAGTGGCTACAAGAGGAATGAGAAACTGGCTCCCAGGTATTTTGGCCCATATGAGATAGTGGAAAAGATTGGAGCAATGGCTTATCGTCTGAGGTTACCCCCAACTGCTAGCATGCATTTAGTGTTTCATGTATACAAGTTGAAGAGGGCTATAGGGGAGCATGCAGCTAGTAAGGCGTTACTGGCGACACTGACTAGGGATTTGGAGGTGTCGTTGGAGCCCTTGGAGCTTAAGGGGGTGCGATAAGGAGAGAGGAGGGATAAGGAAGTGCTGATTAAATGGAAGAACCTCTCAGATTATAACACCACTTGGGAGCCATACGAGAGAATGAAGACCAAATTCCCATCATTTCAGCTTGAGGACAATGTGAGTCTTTCGAAGGATGATATTGGTAGAGTGGCTCTTGAGGAGCCAGCTGAATCGGTCCCACCTGGACCGGTTATGGTTTATTCCACGCAGAATAGATCCGCCTGATTCGGAGGGTAGAATGTGAGGCCCAACCCTCTTAATTGTGGTGTTATGGCTTTAATTGAGAAGGATTTGAGAGGAAAATTTCAAATTTTAGGGGATGTTTAGGGATTTGTGTTTGCTTTTGCTTTAAGTAGTATTTTTTGTTATAGGTTATGTGGTATGTTTTGCAAAATTTGGTGTTTCTTAGGGGTTGCTTGGGCTCTAGTCCCTGGCTAGAGATTGGGAGAGCAAGATCTTCCTCTCCAATTGAAAATCCAACTCTATCTTGCTATTTTCTTTCAACATTTACTATCAAATTAAAAGTCTTTCCCTCCGTTATTCCTCTGTTTTTCTCTCAAAAACTGCTTGGAAGCAAGCCCGATTGCTGATTTCTGCAGCAGAATTTTGTGTTTTCTCGTATTTCATATCAGTTTCTTTAAGAGTGAAATGAAGCTGCTAAGAGAGAAAATCCCATGAATGTCACAGCATTGTTCAAACAAGAAAGAAGAATATGACAAAAAAAAAATATCTGAAAAAAAATTGTCAAGGAAATACTTCTATCACGATTCAAGATATTATCTACATACGTACTTACCATCATGAAACTCATCAGCAACACTTTCAAGAAGCTGATTTTTTAAATAAACTCCATTTGGCGCCTTCCCATATGAATGGTTTTCCTGGAAATGTTGCAGAACTCGTGTATTTTTATCAGGCAATTGAACCAAACTACTGCCTCCATTGGTTTGTCTGCTAATCTGGTTGTTAGATGACAGATATCCATTTTGTGCATCTTCAACCACATATATGCAAAAGACAAGAGAAGACTGTTAAGGACATATTTTCAATAAGTGCATACTGTTGGATTCTCAAAATTTTCAAAAAAATGACTTTCGGGTAAAAAAAAACATTTGGCGCTATAAAATTATTAAGTCAAACCTTGCTTATATTTTGAATGGGACTGCTTATCTGTTTTCTTGGTCTTTTTTGCATTAGAGAGTGTGGAATAGTTTGCTGGGGATGCAGGTCTATCTAACCCATTTATTTTAACACCGCCTGATCTATTTTCAGTTTGAATGCTCCATCCTAAGGCCTGTGTCTCCTTAATACCAGTTGCATAACTGTTATTGTAATCGCCCAACCTCTGTATTTGTGAGCATATTAGCTTATCTTCACAGAAGGTAGTAGACCTATTATATTGACCGTTCTGATGATCCTTTATTGTTTCCCCAGAACCAAAATCTCTAAACAGTATGCTCTTTGGAAAAACCTCAGCAGCATTACTATGTAACATTGCCCGGCTCTGATCATTTGATACCAGAGTATTGACATTTGGACCAGAATCAACACCAAATGATTCCTCAATCATTTCTGGATGATTCCCAGACGAATTCTTCACTTGTTCTGCAAAGGTTTCTGCATGATTCCCAGAAGAATTCTTTAATTGTTCTGCAAGATGCTTCTGCTTTGCTTCATATTCTATCCACCTTTGATACTCTAAAGTTTCCTCCAACTTCCTTTCTTCTTCCTCAAGTTCCACTTGACGTTTTAATTCCTCTTTTTCTTCTTCCAAGTGATCGCTAGTTGTGGTGGCCTCAAAATCCACAAGCTTCCCAGCATTTGAAGCAGTAAACTCCCTGCAGATAAGTGCAAAAAAAAGGATAAGTTAACATTACATTGCATCGAAAAACAGGGGAAAAGGGTTGGGAGAGGCAGGAGGGGAAAAAGATTTAGGGGAAAGTGTAATGAAAAAAGCCACCACCATATTATCAGCATGCATCCCTCAGAAATAAAAAAATAAAAAAAAGAAAACAATTGTCAAATTAGAATGTATTTTCTGCTTTATTTATAGATCATTAAAAAATACAAACAATTCTATACAAAACAAATGTAAAAAAGATATCCTAATATGCGCAACACCAAAACCTTAATCTAAGATAATCAATACAGTGCAAAAAAGAATTAAAATAGTAATTTGAGTTAATAAATGAAGACAGAGAAAAGAAAGGAGAAGTACAGTTAATCTAGATATCACTGTTCTGATTGTTCTTCACTGATAATCTCGTAATTACCCAATACGAAAACAGTTTCACAGCTCTATTTTGTGAAGTAGAGCATATACAGATTATAAAAATGTGACTGTATTCATTGAAAAATGGAGTTTTTTGGGCCGATCTAGGTTGGCCCAACTCAAGACAGCTCATCATTGGCTAGGCATAACCACCTACCGGTGATACATTGCTCGCTCCTCACTATTATAAGAGAAGAAGAGGATTATGTTTCCCCTTAGTTTGAAGCCAGAGAACGAAAGAGATTAGAAGTTACCCTGCCTTCTTTTCATCATTACCAACCTCTTTTCTTTTGCTGATGCCAGCTACAGTTAATTGATCAACGTTTCGACATTGTTGTTGAACTTGTAGGCTACACTTCATTCTTCTCCATCAAGTCATCGTATCATCACCTAAAATTTTCACTCTCCGCATGATGATCGAAATGACTTCAGAAAGGGGATTTTTAGGGGGCGGAATTTTTAATAGGAGCAGGTTTATAATTAAAAGAAGTAAAATGAGCATAATATGAATATAATTTAAATAGGAGCAAATGCGTAATTTAATTTATGTTTTCTTTAGAAAAAGTAAATTAAATTTACATTTTAGTTAAAAAACTTAAAACCAGATCCATTTAAAAAAAATTAAATTAATTTTACTTTTTCTCATTTGTTTTATTTTCACAGTTTTGTTCTTTTTTAATTATAATTTCTTAGTATATTTTTTTAATTAGTTTTTTATTTTTAATTAAATATTTAAGAAATCTAATATTATCTAATATTATAAAAAAGTTTATTAGGATTTTGTAAGAATAAAATTTAATTATAAGATATAATTATTTATATTTAATATATTTAGATAAAATTAATGTGCTTATTATTAAACATATTTTGATTGTTAAATATAATAAAAGTTTAATAAATTTTATGTTCATGGGTGAGCATCAAACACTTGGCAGTTCAACACCAATTAATTTTCAACCATGCAATATGGGGCAAAATTTAGTACTCTAATGTGCACTAACAAGTTACGTACATCTTTATTTGTTGCCAAAAAAGTAAGAGTCGGAGTCATGTTGCCTTATTTCTCTTACTTCTTGACCTCTCTTGTTATGTTGATTCATGCTATACTGAACCACTTAAAGTTTCGTCATCCTCATCAAAGTTACAACAACCTTCTTCATCTTATTTCCTATTACATCATCTCGTCGTGGCGTCAATATTTTGACTCAAGCAAATGCACTTGTTATTCAATTGCTTAAAGATGAACCATTGTCGTCTTCAAAGTTATTGAGGTCTTCTTCACCTTCTTTCCTCTCAGTCGCGCTATTTCATGGCAACATCAATATTTCTACTCCCTAGGCACACAATGGTATCATTCCATTGTTTAACTCAGATTTTGCACCATCTTATTGTAGCATTCTTATTTTTACTCTCCACCTGGTGGCTGTAATAACTCAAAAAAAGGGATTTTTTGGGTTGCCTCAGGCCAACTCATCATATATTGGGCGTAAATGCCTCTCTCTTCGATATTATAAGAGAAGAAGGGTTATGCTTACCTTTGTTTATGCTCAGGGTTTAGTTCTAGCAAGAGAGAAAGTATATAGAAGTTGTGTTTCTTTTTATTTCTTATTTCACATCATTTCTTCCTCTGTTGAATTCTACTGCAGTGACTTAATAGTATCATCACCATTGCTAGAGTTGCAGCTGCCTTTTTTACCATTTGTTTCCTCAATATATTGTGCCATCTTTCATAGCCTGAACATTTCTGCTCTCCACGTGCATTGCAATCATTACGTTATCAAACAAATAAAGAAATAATTAAAAAAAAAAAAAAGAGAAGTGTTGTCATCATGGGTGTTTCCATCGCTATCCTTATGTTGTTAGACTTGAGGTAAATCATTGTCGTTGTCGACGTTGTGATAGACCGGCCCAGCTGATCCAACCAGGACCAATCCAGACATACAAGAGGCGAAAAAGGGTATTTCAGCACCCATCATTGCCGCCCCAATCCATGTGGGGTCCACAAGCTTAATTAGGAAATAAGAGTGATTGTTTTGGGATTGTACCTAATCATTGTATGCTTAAGTATGATTTGGAGGCTAGGGATCCATCTCTGTTTTTGTTGTAGTTTGCTGGTTCTTGGAATTGTGTGGCTCTAGCGGCATCTAGAGATTTGGGAGAGCCGGATCTTCCTTTCCAATAAAAGATTCATTGTATCATGTTGCTTTTCTTCTATTATTATCAATCAAAAAGTTCATTTCTAATTTTTCTTTTCTTCTCAATCTTTGCTATTGCAAAGTGCTGAAATTAAATTTTAGCAAAGGATATTCTTGTTGCCTACAAGCATTTCCTAACACGTTGAAGTTGCCTTTTTCACCTTTTTTCCAACTTTTCCCACCATCTGGCCTCAAAAATTCCACTCTCCACACGCACTTCTTCTCGCCTTCATCTTTTGTATACAAGACGTGTTCTTTTCAGATTTATCAACACTTCCTTTTGTTTAACATAATCATAGCTAATTGCCTAGAAAAGGTGAGGATGGCATATTTTAATTATTGGTTGATTAGGTTAAGTAAATAATAAATCATGTCATCTTCTTCTTCTCCTTCATTTATCTTTTATACACACAATGTCCTTTGCAAATTTATCATTGTTTCTTTCGCTTTATTTATTAAAATATTAATTATTGGTTAAATAAGTTAAAATAAACAACAAATTATTAGATGTTAATCCATTGTTGTTGGATTAGCTCCATGCTTACATTAGCTTAATTTAACTTAATAACATAAGTTACTTCAATATGGGAATTTTTCCCAAAACGATGCAATTTAGATTACTTACTCCATAAATCATCAATTAGAATTGAACTCAAGCTTTCAATTCATCATCAACACCATCAGCTTTATCCAAGATTTATGAATCTTATCCACCCTTCATTCCAATTCCATGTTATTTAAGGTGTTAGAATTTTTTTTGCAAAAATCTTGTCTTGCATAAATTCAATTAATGCCATCCACAACTTATTCATTTTCCTTCATAATACTTTAACATTAATTTTAGTTTTATTGGTGTACTTTCTATCTTCTATTGTATATCTTAAATCACCTAAAACTATTTTAATCTTCAATAAATATTACTTTAATAATTTCAATTACTTAATCATTTCTCATTGACACTTCTTAGTTTTGTCATGGCTTTATCTCAAAATTCTCAATCATGTTATATTCTTGCATATTGCATTACTAAATTAAAAGGAAAGAATGTACAAAAAGGTACAATCAAGTATAGAGACTCTTATGAGAGACCTCCCCCTACAAATAAAAAAAAAAAGTTGAGAGGGAAGAGCACTAATAACTATATCATTCATATTTCAAAGTGAATAAAAACTAACATTAAAGGTTGCTCCTCAATTGTCAAGATGGGGTGCAATAGGATGCCTTATGCGATTGTAGCAAACCCTAATAAAGCCGACTAAGAACTACTTTTGGGGAAGACACCAAAGTAAGGGTTGAAACAGCCACGAAGGTTGATTAATGTCCCAGTGCTATGGTTAGTGTCCCAGTTGTCTAGCAGTGGGTTAATCGTCTTATGGTGTCAATTATGCTACACTCAACTTAGCTAACTTAGCTATATTTGATATTTTTATCGCCCACCACTCGGATTCATAAAATATAATCAATCTAAATGCAACTTCATAAGTTTTACCTTCAAGTCATGGACTCGTGATATTCTCTTAATGTAATAATATTCCTAAGGTATTTATATATTTCAATAACTCAACATTAATTTTAAAAGTTATATCACCGTCTACTTCAGCATAATAGATACAAGATATTTAAACATATCAAACCTAAGTATTACTTGCATTCAAACAATATTAACTCTAATTATCAATTCATGCATGCTCAAATCGCAAAATTTGTTCTACTAATCATAAATCTCTTCTCGTTTAAATAATTTCTTTTAGATAAATTTTCTCTAATTTCAATTGGAGAGTCACCAATTAAATTTGCATTCATAATAGCTTGAGCTTCAGAACATCACTCAATTATAAAATGAAATAATGTAGCCTTTGAAGTAAACATATTATGATTGCTAACTCTATAATCACTCAATGCCCGCCTCTAAATTCTTATTCCAATTAATGATTCATCATGCATATCTTCAACATATCTGAACACCTATCATTTTTTTCTTAATACAGATCAAATTAGTTCTTATGGAGCTTAATCATATGCCATCTTAAATAGAATCCTGTCTTAGCTACGCAACTTCTCATTAATCACCTAAGCAAAAAATTTGCCTTCATAATGGATATGTAACAGATAAATCCAAATTGATTCTGACATCAAATAGAATTAAGGTCTACGACTACATCATATGACTCATTTTTTATCACACTGTATTCATCATAATCTTAAGCATCTCCTTTGTAATGAAATGTTTCACTATCAAAATACCTCTTCTACAACTATTCAAATAATCTTAGGGACTATTTATTTTGCTAAAAAATAATGCAATGTAAAAGGAACACAGTACAAATTAAATGTAGCATGTTGAAAATATTTTTTAAGTAATTTTATTGATTACATTACAAATGCAAGATAATTTTTTTTTTTTTTTGGTTTAAAGTAAAGTTCAGTTAATTTAATGAAAAACCCGATAATAGCAGGAGTGAGTAGACCGCTGTAGTGACACAGGTGACAGGGCAACTGCGGGCAACAATGGACAACATCAGCAAACAGCAGGAGAGGCAAAAGAGCGGCCGACTAGCAGCGACTGTGAGGGTGGCTAGCAATGGCTAGCGACGGTTAGCACCTAATTGTGGCGGTAGGATGTACTGCCTTATTGGCCAAATGTGAACAGTGATCAAAAGATTGAAATAAGGAGAAGCTTTCAGCAAATCTAAAGTCCAAATAATAAAGCATTCCTAATTTATTTTTGATTTGAGAAAATTGGATGAAAAATAACAATCTAGAGTTGTTATCACCATCATAGCTCTCTTGATCACAACAAAAACATTGTCTCATATATCAATAGTTGGTTTTATCAATTGGTTTTATTGGTTGTATTTCATATAAATTAAGTGATGCATATTGTGAACGGACTAGTTTATATAAGCCATACAACAAAATTTCTAGTCTTTTTTCCTTTCAATTCATTTCCCAATGCTGCTATTATTGATGGACCCTCTGCTCTCTGTCAAACATTCACTAGGCATAAGTCCATTGTTTATAATATGATCATCAATAGGTGTTATTCACACTCTCTATATTATAATCACTCCACATTTCCCATTTCTACACAACAGTGGTTTTTTTTACATTTCAAATAAATATAATAGCATAAGAATGAGAACAATTTCTATAACACCGCCCAATTCCTCATTCTCATACTTAAGTCTTTCCTGTTAAACTTATTCATCAACTGGATCCGATAATCCCTACTATTCCTTTTTGCATGCCCATTAATAAATACCCCAATAGCTTCTAAAAAAGCACATCATCATCATCATTGTTAGCCATATCCCAACTATTTGGAGGGCTTTTAAAAATTGCAAAATACGTTTTTTCTATTTTAGAAGTCCTCAAAGATCTCTGGCTTTAGCAATCAACTACTGAAAATAATTCCTTAAAAACCATCTCTATTAGACCAACGAGTATGTTCATAATCAGCAAAAGATAAACAAATCATTATGACTCTTTTGGCCTGCCTTTCATTCTCATTACAGGAATAATTATGGCTGAAATCGATTTGAATATCCTAAACAGCTCCCAAAATAATCCTCCTTGCTTAAAATTGCAATAAGGCAAATTCAACAAAGTAACAAATAAATGAAGTCAACAAGGAAAATTACTGATTAGATACACACGTGATTGCATCAGAAAAAAAAGATAACATATTTTCCAGATACATCATACAAGAAGATGAGACAAGTCCCAAAAGAAGTACAAAATATTAGCGCGTCTGTGTATCTATCTGTGGGAAAGGGGATTTGCAGGGTTTAAACGATGATTCTTTAAAAACTAGGTGGAACTCATTCATTAGTGTGCTTGCTTTGCATACTCTAAAATGCATAGCATGAACAAGCATCTCAAATTATTATGTGCATTTGATTACATCCTACACATAATTTCATACTTCTTTTCCGTGGCCAGAAACTATCTTTTGCCAAATTCTAATTCAAGTACTAGGTTGGCTCATTTGATTTGGCACTAACAATCTTGCGTGCCATACACACACCATGGATATTGAAGGGTGTGTGCTGGCAAGGTCTTCATAACTTGCATTAAGTAACATGCTATTAATACCTAATCATAAATAAGTAAATAACAGTAGTATGCTAAGAAGGTGCTAATGAGTGCAAAAAATGAAGAATTGAAAAAATAAAGGTACTTCAGACAAAGCTGGCCAGAAAAGAAAAAAAAACTAATTAGTAATTCCAAACAGAAATAGAAACTGAACTTTTAGAAAACAAGTAGCAAATGTAAAGTCGATAAACCATACAAATGTTCAGCAGTTTCCTTGTGATTGTTACGCTGCTCACTATAACCTGCAGTCTGAAAACATTCATAAAAATCAGAACAGTGTTACCAATCAGTATATTCAGCATTTCCGCTAAAGCAAAGAAATAGATCCTACAACCTTTGTGTCCTTGGATTTTCTGGAATCCTTACTCTTTTTCTTATCCTTCAACTTTTCATGTGCATGTCTCGATTCAACTTCCCTGTTTATGTTTTTCTTCTCATCAAGCTCGAGTTCTGCTAAAAAGGCTTCTCTAGCAGCATCCGACTTCTCAGTCGCAGCTTTATCCACTAATGACTCCAGATGAAGCTGAAAAACCAAAAAACAGGTGCCGCTGAAGCAAAATGTAAAGTTCAGGAACTGAAAATGCACAAAGTGGGGAAGCAATGTACTGACCCGAAGAAAACACTTCACTAAAGGTATAATAATTGTCTGATAATCATAAGCAGAAGCCGGGCCAAGTTTCGCTTCCAGTTGCTGCATGCCATTCACATTGTGCATTAACTTTGCATCAAGCTTGTTGAGCTGCGTATAAAAAAAAACACATATAAATGTCATGTGATAGATTAAAAGAAAATTTTCCCTTCTTGAGAAGCACAAAGTTACCAGGTTTCCACACAAACTTCAACGAGCATGCCAAATAAGCATACCTCAACAGATAATTGCTCCCTTTGTCTTTGGATTGCTAGTTCAATACAGGTATCAGCTTGCTGTGCGTATTCATGCGCTCTCCTCTCATCCTTATCATAGTCCAACTCGCTCAAACAAGAAGCCTCACTGGATAGAGTTTCATCATACCCAAACTGAGCTATGCTCAAGCCCTGTGATTCCTTGAGAACATTGGAGATGGCATCCAACTCAAGTCTATCGCTTGTATACATCACATCATCCTCTCTTTCAATAAGTTCTTCTTGTCGCTTCCTTAATACAAACTCATAACTTTGGGGAGCTAACTTCATAGAAGGATCTCTTTTCCTAAACTCTTCCACACAAAGGTTCTCTGCGGCCTGCAAGGCCTCCTCATAGCTCAAATGCTCACACTTTCTCTCACACAAGCTTTGCAAAAGGTAAACCTCCTTCTCAAGAATCTGAAGGGTTTCCATACCCAACTGAAATTTCTCCTCCTTCCTACACTTCCAGGCAGATAGTTCTTCCTCGCACGATGAACCAAAAAAAAGCCAGGAAACAATAGCATCAGCATCAGGGATCGTATCTATACCATCAACAAGAGATGAAGCATCAGATATTTTAGAACCAGTTTTTGTATGGAATAGATGACCATCTACAAGAAGCCTGGCAGAATCATAGGCAAGTCTGACTCCATCTAGAGCTTCACCACCATTATCAGTCTGAACTGTGTCACCAGCAGCATTATCCTTCTCACTGTATCTAACTAATCCACATGAATGAGACAAATCCTGCAAGAACTTGAGTACCTTCCTAAGCTGGGGTCCATCCAAGAAACAAATGCAGATGGGTGACTGGTCAAGTTCACTATTCTGCAGCTGTGAACCCGATGATAAACCTTTGATACCTTCCATTGCAAATTGGATCACCTTGTTGAGATGACTAACAGAGAGGCTCTTATGTTTAATGAACAGCCGAAGCATTCCTTGAATCCTTTCAAGAAGTTTGGCTCTTTCCAAATCATCAGACAAGGGCCATCTCCGAGATGAACCCGCAAAAACGGTTGAGATATGATTCTCCCTGCTTCCTAAAGTATATCCATTCTCCCCATCCACGTACTCTCTCTGTTGCAGTGATGAGGAAGAATCTGAGTTATATTTCGAACTCCAGCATTCAGACAAGGATTCCTTATCCTTATTACTCCTGGTGTCAGAATCTTCATCATTGACAACCAAATGCTCCTTTTCAACTGCATCCTCTAACATTTTCACAGCAGCAGCTGAATTAATGGGCTTCCAGCTCCAATTCAGAAGCATCTCAATCCACTTGACATCAACTTCTTGAGGCAGAACAGATTGCAACTTGGGCGAGAGACTGCCTATGTGCTCCCGCATGACATGCTGGACGTGAGTATCAGAATCTGTAAACTTCTCCTTGCATCGGCAGCAAACCCAGTACTTCCATGTACCATTGGAGCCAACAAAAGCCAAGGCCTCCGAGAGGACATCTGATGCAAGGTTATCCTTTGATGATGATGCATAGTGTTCCTTAAGATCAGCGACCCTCACTGAGAGAAACTCAAATTTCTGGTCAGTACTCATGGAATTCCAATGGGAACGTGCCTGGTCCATCCTCTCAGCAGATAATGACAGTTTTCTTGAGTTGTTTGACCTGCGACGCTCCTTACTGCCTGAGGATGAAGGCGGCTCACTGCCCCTGGTGTCATTCTCAGCCGAAGCTGGTGAGTTAGACTTGTGCTGGAGTAGGATAGCAGCCGCAACACGTACTTCAATCTCCTTGCGGCGCTCCTCAGGGGTCTTAGTGGCCTTCTTGATCTCATTAGGTCGGCGAGCTGGTATCACAGTGACTTCCATGGGATCCTCCATCAGGCGTCGCATAGGTATCAATCTAATACTCTCCTCGCGTCCAGAGCCGTTGCCTAAGTTCTTCATCCAGGTGGAGAGTGATGCAAGGTTGGACTTCTGAATGAGGGAACGGAGCTCCTGCTGCACGTGAGCAATCCGAGCCTCAGCAGTGGTGAGCTTCTGCTGGCTTTCTTCCTGAAGGCTCTCCTTGGCTGGATCTACAGGGTCTGCAATCGCCAGCGCACGCTCACACTCCTGGACGACGTCTTCATAGGCAGGACCATCATTGGCAGCCTCGTAGAGAAGGTTCGCATAGAAATGCGCAAACTCAATCGAGTTTGGGGAGAGCTCGACGGAACGGCGGGATGAGTCGATCGCACTACGCAAGTGCCGCAGCTTGCTGTTAGGGTCGTCAAGTAGGGAAGCGACCTTGAATGAGATGGTGCTATGAACGCGGTGGAATAGCGCAGAGGATTCGTGACGCTGGCAAGCGTCCTTCATGAGACGGAGGGCCTTGGTGTGGTTTCCCCGGCGAAGCGCTGTCAGTGCTCGCTCGCACTCCGCCTTCACGGTTGAACAATCCGACGCCGACTCCCCCGGCGGAGCTTCCGCCGGGGGAGGGCGGGAAGGTCGATTGTTAGGGTTTCGTTTACGAACCATAGGAGAATGCCGGGCGGTCGCTTTCCCTCTATCAAAGCCACGATTCCGACTCCGACGCCTCTCTCATCCAAGCAAGCGACCTAGCTATTCAGAGCAAGAAGGATGGCGGAGAAAAGATGCGTACCAAAAGCAGAGAACGAGAAAGCGTGGACGGCTGCGTCGCCAGATCGTCAGAGACCGGAACGGGCAAATTGAGTGCAGAAGCGCGATAGCCTTTCGATTTTCAGCATAAATTCAGCTCGACGGAAGAATCAATGGATGAGCGAGCCGCTCCGGAAAGAGGGCGGTCAAGAGGCGGAGGGAGAAGATGGTTACATTAGCCTTAAGGCGGTGAGGGCCGATTAGCGTACCACCGTTTTTCTCGCTCGTTGAATGATTAGATACTTGTTTAAGGATTTTTAAGCGCCTCATTTTCTCTCTAGCTTATACTTTTGAGTAAATCTTGTTGGTCACAATCGACAATATTAATGACCAAAACATAATATAATTAAATAATAATTTTCCATATTATGATTCTTTTAGAATCTATAATTTTAAATACATATATATATAAGAAAAAACATTAGATGGCCAAGTTATTAAAAAATAATTTTTTTATTAAAAATTTGAATCACATATTCAGTATTTATTTTTTAAAATTTAAAAAATCCTTAAAAATTCTTCAAAATACCAAATAAAATGATAGTGCATCAACTCATAGGTTACAACAAATTTTAATTTAGAACATTGTTTTTTATAAAATTAACTAAAAAGGGCACTAAAAGGGAGCAAATATGCAACAAGTTTTTAAGATATTGTTTTAAAATGTAAATTCATTGAAATAGCAAAATGTTAATGTGTTTTAATTCATTGAAAATGCAAATTTATTTTACATTTTCAATGAAACTCTATTAGTCTTGTGAGGAATATTATTGTGTTGATCAATCGAGTTATATTGGTGCCTTGATCTCAATTTGTTTGTCAAGCTAAATCGGGGGTTAAGGGGGTCTTCCCCTTGCCGGGGTTCAATGGTGAATCCAGTTTTTTTTTTAGGGTGGGCAAATTCAATATATAAAAAAATAATATCACAAATTTTATATATATATATAATTCATTAGCAACATTCAAAGCAAAGCTTTATATTTCATTATAATTTATGAAATAAAAAAGAATATTATAAACTTTGCATTCTACTTTATATTTTCTGATATTGTTGTATATTGACTTCATTCGGAAAAAAACCAATTACTTTTTTCTCAATATATGATACTAGACAATCATTGAGCTATGCATCATCCATTTTGCTACACAACTGATGCTTAATAATCTTTATTACAAAAAATCCTCATGTGGATCCAAAGCAATCAGACTAATATGTTTCAAAGGCTTTTCTAGGCATTTAGTCCTATTATTGGGTGGACGCATAGTCGGACTGTTCTTAGTCTTAGTGGGACATTCTTGCCTGGTAAATATCAAGGACCATTATTAATTGTGATTGGGTTTGGATGCTAATAATGGTTTGCATCCACTTATCTTCGCTATTATTGAGTTAGAGTGTACTGAATCATTGATTTGGTTCCTCGTGCAAATACATGAGCTCCTCCCAGTTCTTACAAATAGGCAAAATATATGTATCATCTTTAATAGGCGTTGTTGGTTTAGTCGGAGGATGTAGGGAAATTTTTTGTGGTGCAGCTCATGGGATTTGTTTAAGTCATCTACATGAGAACTTCAAGAAAGCAATACTATATATGGGGTTACGTGATGTTAAATTTTCGTGTTAGAAAATATATGCAACTGGCAATATTGATGATCTACTCATTTATAATAGATGCAAGACATATATTAAAAAAAATAAAGGTTGATATTTACCAGTGACTAGTGGACCGAGATGTAACCCAATGGTTTTTAATATGTTATGGTGAATTTAAATATGGGGTAATTACAACAAATGTGACCGAGTTTTTTTATTGGTGTATTAAAAAGAGCTCAATGATTATCAGTACAAACATTGATCATGACCATCTACTATAACATTGTTGGAATGTTCAAAAGGTGTTTGAAGTTCATTACAATTAATTAGCAACAAAATAATAGTTTTTTTGTCGAGACGTGTTTAGCTTCACTTAAAAGGGTTGAGGAAGAGAAGAAGATTGCCATAACCAACATGTCTTAACATGCATAAATTACTTCTCGACATGTCATCCAGATTGTATTGTGTTGACTTAGTTAATGGAAGAAGATGCATGTGCAGCAGTGGAAAACCATTATTATATCACATACCTTTTGCGCATGTTGTATGTTGTGCTGCAATGCTAAGAAGAAACCACTTAGATTATGTTTCTTCGTACTATGTCATGATAAATTAGAAATTGACTTATTTCGTAGAATTCCACCACGTCCCTAACATGGAATAATTGGGACAACATGATCCCACTGCAGATCAATATCATCTTCTCCCTCCAAACTATAAAATGAAGTCTGGTCGACCAAGGAATGCTCGTTATTGTAATACAATGGATGATTGACGACCAAGGAGTAACAGAGTTTGTGGAACTTGTCATCAGGTCGAATATAACCATGCTACATGTCTAATTAGGCTTGCTTGTAAGAACTAGCGGTTATTATGTATGTTATTGTACTAAGTAATGAACAATGTCTTGTATTGAATGTTTATATATTATATTTCGTAGAGCTAGTGAAATGTTATGTATTTGACGGAGATGTTATCTTGAGATCAAGTATGTTTCTACTGATATGAATTATCTTATTATATATTATAATATATATGTTATTATGAGATCTCTTGTATATTTTTTTATTTATGTGATTTATGACTCATTCATATAATAATTTTGGCAGCTTGATTGGCATCCAAATAATGTCGACGTAAGAAGAAACGGCCTACCATCACGCCTTCAATAGAGGCTACTGCTCTTGCTTCACCCCCTATGCAACTTCACTCGAGTATTGATTCTTTGCATGGTATACATAAAGATATACATCCTAATGGGGTAAGTGAAATTTGATTATGTTTATTGATATTATGGTTCAAATTAACATTTAAGATTATATAATACTAAACTTGTCTCTTTTCCAAAATAATTAAGGAAGTAGTGTCGCATCTTTTAATGGTCCACGAATGAACAATCAATTGTCCAATATTTATGGAGGCATCAAGAATGGTTGGCTTAGATTGTGTTAGTCAAATGAGATATTTAAGGATGTACCACCATCTATTGACAGCTTTAGTTGAGCAGTGGTCCCCTTAAATGAACAATTGTTACCTTATAATAGAGGAGATGACCATCACTTTGCAGGATGTGGCTATGATATTAGATGTGTATATAGATGGTCATGCTTTGGTGGGTCACGCAGTAGTTGGAGCAGGGAGACATTCGTTGAGTTGGCTGGATCGCTGCGATGACATATTATGGAGTCATTAACTGCTATATGTAAACTTGAACGAGATGGTTGTTGGAGGCATTTTAGGATGTACATCTTATTCATTATGGTCTATCATCTGCTCTCATATACATCAAGTTCGGAGATACATTTACAGTACTTGACTATTATGGATGATTTGGCATTCTTCAATACATAATCTCTTAGGGGAGCGAGTGAAGCAACAAGGCCCAATAGGACCAACATAATTGGGTGTATACACTTGTTACAAATTTGGGCTTGGGAGCACCTACATGTTGGTCGATCATCACTTCGTGTACCCTTTCCAATACAACTTGATGGTATGAGTGTTGGGCTTATGTACGAAGTTATGTTATATATTTCTTTTGTTTATAATACGACATGCTTATTTTTTAAAAATTCTTTTGCAATCATTTGATATTTAATTAGAATAATTAGAATGGGGATCGACTTCGTGAATTACCCGTGGGTAACATTAGTAGTTATAGGGACGACCTTAACGATCTAATTTGTAGCTGAGTATTGTGTCTAATTTAATGTTATATTATTACATTATTATTAATTTTTCAACTAAAATTACTTTGAAAGTGCATGTCATATGGGAGCTGTACACATAGGAAATTTGTGCTCAGGTTACACACATATGCCTATTAGGTGAAGAGACATGAACCATGAGAGTAAATATAATTATTTAGAATAGGGTTGTGTGGCACTTGTCTGATCAAGTTCTACGACAATTTGGCTTATGCCTGAATACTAATGTAGAACCAATGAACCATAGCTTCAAAAGAGTGGATGGTCGTGGGAAGCAAGACATGAATTTGATGTTGTACCACCAGGCTAACATAGTCATTTGGCAGAGCAGACATGGATATATAGTTACCCGGGAGCAGCTTGGTGAAGGCAGTGAATATGTTGTGCATCAATACATATAGTGGTATAAGTCATGGGCCACACTATACATGTTAAAAGCACCTGTTGAGCCTCCCACCATGGCATATCCTAAATCTTCCTCAGAGTGCCATTAAGTGTGTAAAGATGAAAAATATCATTAATTTCTTAGACCCTTATTTGCAATATTATTGTTAAATTAATGTTGTCATTTTAGAGGGATTTATTCCTTGGTATGGAATACACTTTGCTACACCATTTCAACAATAATGAGGATACACATCAGTAGAGGGACATAAACACAGTGGCGAAGCTTTGACATGGCTTTTGCCATCAGATGCATATTGCAGATCAAAGATACTTTGATGATACATCTGGACATGATACACCACTCTCTATGACTTAAGATGCTCCTCAACCTTAGAGTACATATGTTGGATCATTTCTATATCCTGATGAAGGGCCATCTTAGGATATATTTATTACCATATACCATGTAATTTGCTTGCATACCTCAGCCCAAGATTTATATCGAGCACCATCCATACAGTTGATAAACCTCAAGATGACATCACTGTGGAGAATCATCATGTGTTACTTGACAGATATGTATGTCCTTTATAGCAATACACTCCTGACAATGATGCATTATCATACAAAGGATGTATGAGGCGTTAATTGATGTTTTGTTTGTATTTCATATGATGTAGCATTCTGATGATGTTAACATTCCCAATAATCAATCATGATGACTTTTTATTTTTCTAAAATGAGGTTAAATTTACTTGACTTATTCTATGCAGCTTCCACTTCAAGATTATTTCATAAAATAAATTTAATCATCAAATTTGATAACTAAATGTATTATTAAATAATTATTTTTAAGAATAATACTTAATTGTCTAAAATAATTAAATATATTAGGTCAATTTTCATAATTAATTCAAATATACTAATATTATTATAATTTAATTCACATAAATAAATAATAACATATACAAACTAATTTTTAGAATAAGTAAAACAAAGATGTATAAGTACTCATCCTAAATATAATTTTTTTAATGAAGAAGCACATGCAACCGATCACATAACAAAGTAAAATACATAGACATGATTCAAACTAAATTTAGACGAAGATATATTTTCTAATTTCTAAGCAACATATGTAAACTTGATTAGAGTTATATTTGAGTTGTACAATATTTCAAATTGAACTCGAACTCATATTGTAGGTATATTAAGTCATCAATATTGAAGAATTGTCTAGTCTTAGTATCAAGTAATATATCCTTCATATGTTCTTTATAAAAATCCTAAATGAACTAGTTAAACTTTGAATACCAACCACAATATAAAATAACATACTCAATGTTAAGGTGGTTGCAGTCAATATCAGGCAGGGAATGACCGTCATCTCTATGACATTTCATAATATGATACCGCATATTTAAGAAATAAGGGTTGATAAAGTAACCATTTTCTTCTCGGAACAGGATTTGAAAAGATTCCCATATGACGATATTTACGAAATCTCGTGTTCTATGGTTTTACCCTTATTAACTCAACATATATAATCTAGAGGCAACCATCCTAATTTTCTGACCATTCATGTACGTAACACCTAAAAGTATTATTCCCATCCACCTTTTGCTCCAATGGAGTATCACCAGCTCATGCTATACAAGCATGTATTCTTAAGCTTGCCTCATCGAACCTTTCTTTGTTGTGGAAGCCTTTCAACTTCTTCATACATGATCAAAACATTATGAATAATTCAAGTCAAAGCTATAAAAATATGCTTAATATGTATTTGGTGAACCCTTTAAATAACATATAATAAAAATATTTAACCTTCACTTGCAGCAATAAAATATAATAAGATTTGAATAGACCTTACAACTTTATAGGTCATCTGATGAGATAGGCTATTGCAACCTATATGAAATGTCAATGCACAATAAACTGATATGTGTACATCCCACCTTCACATGCTGCTTATAATTATAATAATATTTGATGGGATATTTCATCTTTACAATTTAATTGATATGACGACTTGCTGCAATGTAAACTCCCATCAATGAATAATGAGACAAATTTAGTAGGATCATAAAGACATGATAATATAAGCCTACAAAACTGGTTTGATAATAACAATTGATTTGTCAAAAGGTTTAAATATTAATATGAATCTAATTGAACATTTATATTGTAAAATATATTAATATTTTTTAAAAATAACAATTTCATATTAAAAATCACAATAAAAAGATTGTGTTGTTAAATCAACATATATTATGAAATCAGTATGCATTGTCACAATGTATTGTCACAATCAAGAATTTGCCACTATAATATTATTATGTATTATCACATCAGTTCATCTTGTCAAATCAGTATGTATTATTAAACCAGTTCATTTTGTCAAATATAATAGTAATGATAAATCATACAATTTATTTATTTTTTATCGATCAGTTAATAATTTAACCTATAATTTGATGATCTTCTTCTATATTTTAGCATATTATCTTGTTTTGATGCATGTAACTGGTATCATGCATTCTCCACTCACTCTATAAATCTTTCTGCGGTTGTTATTTCCTTTTTTGCAATGTATAAGACACCAAAAATCTCTTTGAAGAACTTTGATTGTGGAGGGTAGCAGTCGATTGAAAGAATGTTTAGCGCGTTTCACTAATGAATAATGATGGATTAAAGGAGATGGCTAGATCGAATAACATTGATCGGTGCTATGTGCATTCATTGTCAGACTACATATTAGAGCACATGCACTCACATCAAAGTTATGGAGATTCCTTATTATAGGGATGGAGTCGGTTTGAGTGAGGTGGGTTGGAAATTCCTACAAAAGAGGTTTACGGAATATATAGCTGGTAGATGCGGCACTAATTAACGTTCTAAAAGCTAGATATATTGAAATTAGACACTGGGAAGATGAGTTGTTTGAGTTGATTATGGACAACCTAACGACTGATATAGATCACTATATTATTTACGGTAAATAACATACTGCAAAAAATGCATTTCTCGTTCAAACATATAAGAATTTGATTGCTATGTTAGGTACAAAGAGGGTGTTTCTCAATACATCAGACTGACAATACATTATGCTTTGGTTTCAGCACAAATTCAATTGCTGCACGACTCAATCCCAACTCTAAGAATCGTTGAAGTCTTTCTTTTGTTTTTTAGAACTTTTTTAAGTGTGTTATTTAAGTGGTTTAAATGTGATTTGTGTTTGTTATCGTTTAAGTTATTAAGTTTTATGAATATGTACGCTCATGTATGTCTGAATATGATTTTCAATACAATGTTATTGTTGTTGTTGGAATGTTGCTTTTCCTTAAATTTTCTTCTTTTTTTAATATTTAATTTTTTTGTGCTTTTTCAAATCGAGGGAAATAATATTACGAAACAAAATAAATTATACTATTATTTTGAAAAAAAGCATATGTTGAATAATATCTCAATAAATCAATACTTATATTCATTTTAATATATACACTTTTAAAATGTTTAATCTATATTTTTATAAAATTTTAAATACATAAATTTATATAATTTTAAAAATTTAAAACTTAGAAATACCCCAAAATTTTAAAAAAAGTCAATAATGATATTTTTTATTATTACAAAAAAATTGTAAAATCATTGAACATATATGCATTTACAAAATCACGAATATTTATGAATTAAAAAAAAAACTTAACACATACTTTCAACTTAGCACACATGCCTTGAATCATTGTTATCACACTTACTTCGTCATCCAATGCCACCAAATTGCTATGTCGTGCATTAAAAAAATAATTTAAATGTAAGTCACTCCATCAACGGATGACTTACATAAGTCGCTGAATCTAATGCACCAATTAGCCATGTCATGCTTTTTTTTTTAAAAAAAAAAATAAACTTCTTTTTTTAATATTTAATTTTTTTGTGCTTTTTCAAATCGAGGGAAATAATATTACGAAACAAAATAAATTATACTATTATTTTGAAAAAAAGCATATGTTGAATAATATCTCAATAAATCAATACTTATATTCATTTTAATATATACACTTTTAAAATGTTTAATCTATATTTTTATAAAATTTTAAATACATAAATTTATATAATTTTAAAAATTTAAAACTTAGAAATACCCCAAAATAAAAAAAAACCAATAATGATATTTTTTATTATTACAAAAAAATTGTAAAATCATTGAACATATATGCATTTACAAAATCATGAATATTTATGAATTAAAAAAAAAACTTAACACATACTTTCAACTTAGCACACATGCCTTGAATCATTGTTATCACACTTACTTCGTCATCCAATGCCACCAAATTGCTATGTCGTGCATTAAAAAAATAATTTAAATGTAAGTCACTCCATCAACAGATGACTTACATAAGTCGCTGAATCTAATGCACCAATTAGCCATAACATGCATATTTTTTCTTAAAATAAAATTTATTGTAAGTCACCTTTTACATTAAGTCGTGAATTGGATCCTAATTTTTAAACGACTAACGATTAGCTGACTCGACTTTGACTAGTCAACATAAGTCACCTATTAAAGGAGCGACTTTGTCTACTATTAAATTTTATTTTAATCATACTTATACACTTAATTTAATTATTAAAAGTACTTATTGTAAAAATTTTACCTTCGTTCAATTACTCGATTAATCTGAACTAAGAAAACAAGGATGCATGTCAATTTACTAATTTTATTGTCTCGTATAAGAATCAAGCAAAATAAGATAATAAAGGCTCTAATAAATCTAATTAAGCTAAGATAAATCAAGTTTTATAGATTGATTTAGAGTGTTTAAAATTTAGTCTTAATGTAATTTGACATTCACTTTTTTCAAATGTAAAGGAATTATAAGAATTTTTTAATTTATTAGATCACACTTTAAAAAAATCCACTCCTTGTTAACCTCTAAAAAATAAATATACCACTTTCAACTACGTTGCTACATTTTGAATGCTGTACAATCTGATCCGTTTTCATCTTCCAAAATTCCGCATCTCGGCCGTTCTTTCCGATTCAGAGCCGAATGTACGGCTCAGATAATTGATCAAAAAGCATTACTGCACCCTTTCCATCACCATCCGTGTATAATCAAACGGTTGAAAATTCTTTTCACCGCTTCCCTTAACGCCGCGGTTCACGTGAGGCAATTTCACTGCAATATATCGGGTTTGGCGGGGTCCCCGGTCCCCACCCCATCCTTCATCAATCAAAAAGATCTTACGCCGTTCCTTTTCCATAAGCAAAACCAGCGGCCGTGATCGCATCATCACCGTTCGGCACTAGGGTTTCGGCCGTTCGCATCACCGTCGTCTTCTTGAACCGCTGGAATCGGCGATGTCAGCCCCTTTCGGAGCCGATCTTCCGAACCATGGAGGCGACGCTCGTGCTCAGATGGTCGAAGGCGCTCCGGCCGATCAGGAGGGGGAGCAGGAGGCAGCTGATGCTGCTATGCAGCTTGTGAGCTCTAACCCGAATCAGCTCACGCTGTTGTTTCAGGGGGAGGTCTATGTTTTCGACTCGGTGACGCCCGAAAAGGTACCGTTTCGCGAAGATTTCTGTTAGTGATTGGACGCGGTTACTTTTGTTGTCTGAATAATGTGATTGAGGACGATAGAACTGGGGAACTACCAATTTACTATATAGCGTTATTCATTTTTTGATCCTTTTGCTATAAGGTGATTTCAAGAAGAGTTGTTGGAATTATGATTTCGAGAATAGTTGTAGTTAGCGTATAAGGGTACTGCCATGTTATTTGAAAGGTCTTTAAAATATACGGTTATATTTAGCATACATTATAGATATGAACCGACACTTGGTGTATCCTTTGTTAATTTTGGTGTAAATTCTTTATCTTGAATGTCAACTAAGTTGGATTTTTAGAAGAGAATCTTCTACGTTTATAATTGTAATTTGCACCCAAGCGCCTGTCTTGTAGTTTATTTTGATCATGACCAATATTACATTAGGACAAGGCAACATCGGAAAATCCGCTAGCTTTTCCATACGATTTCTATCCAGATTGGAAAATCTCTTTTTTCAGTTGGATTGTATTTATTTTTTTCTCATCGAGTTCAGGAAGATGGAAATAGGATGTTAGTGCAATGATGTTTGGGTTAATAAATTTAATGTGTATATTTGAATTAGATTAACAGGGTTTTTTGAGTCGTTGTAGTTTATAGGTAAGTAATGGGTTTATGGAGTTTAACTAGTTTATGACTCTTTGGGGCCATTTGGTAGAATCTAGGATTTCATTCAAGTAGGATTTCGTAAATCCTCTAAATCCGAATTTATGAAATCTTGAGGGGGTTAAATCTTGAAAACTGTTTGGTAACCTTCATGATAAATCCTATGGGACTGTTTGGCTATTCCATTCAGGATTTAAAGAGGTTTAAAGATTTGGGCAGAGTTTCTTCCTTCCCGCGCCAATGGAGCCGGAGGATTTCGGAAATCCGTCGAAAGAGAGGATTTCCGAAATCCGGGATTTACGACGAAAAGGTGGAATTTTCTATCTACGGAGGCTTTGATTTTCCGTGAGATTTGGTTTTGCATTTTAGGCCATTGGCTGGATTTCGCCTCAAATCCGCATACCAAACAGCCCCTTTAGGTGCCATGTATTTCTCTAAAAAATCTACATTGTGTGGAATTATGATGAATGAAGTAAGGTGAGCCTCTCTTCTCTTAGTTCCCTCAACCAATTTCTAGAGTTGTTAGTATCCTAGAATATGCCATTTATCCCTCACGTAGCAATGCATGTCTATCAATGGTGTTCATCTTGGGACTCGACCTGATTGCGATAAATATTAGACTCGAGGATGTTTAGAACTCCATAATTTAATGGGGAAGAAGGGATCACAAAACACAAAGTGGAGCTATTTCATTTGATTTATTATTTTTCCTAATACTCCCAAGAAATAGGATTTATAGAATTACAGGGACTCTTAAAGAGTCATTAGCTACCTATTAATTCCTAACACCGCTCAAAATATATATTATTATTATGTAAGTACCAATCCTAACCCTTTAATTACCTAGCACTTTAAATCGAACTTGCCTCAAAGTTAATCAAGGCACCATAAGAACTACACGATGGAGAGCTCTATGTGGACATAGAGGTTTCAACACAATATTTGAGCTTGGAAAGTGGGATTTGGCAAACCATGGTGCTAAATGGCTTGTTATGACATATATTGATGGAGGAGTGGGTGGCAAGCGAATTTGGATGACAAAAGCCGGGAAGTTGGAGATTTGGGTTGCAAGATGAGATGACAAAGGCATTGGTTGTGGAAGGATGCGAGCAATGGATAGAGAGACAAGTCAGTTCTGTAGTTTTTTTATTTTTTTATGAGAGACATTGATTCAATTTCTAGGTTTGATGTAGTCAATAATTTACATTTTATGAATTTTTTTTTGAACGCTATGTATTTTATTTTGTATTGCCCTATGATGAAAAACAACCCATTATCATGCTGAGTTCGGTGCTCTCGAGTTGGTTCACACCATTGTCCTTCCTCTTGTGTTGATCCTGCTTCCTTGCTCCTTGGTAGCTGGTTGAGTATTTATAAGGGCTGCTTTTCCTTATTGGGCTTTGCCCATTTCTCCCCTTAGGTTGGTGGTTGCTTGAATTCTTCCCCTTGCTTTATGTTCGGTTTCCGTGCTGGTTGTTCGGTTTCCCTACTAGCTATTCGGTTTACTTTGCTGGCTGTTTGGTTTTCCCTTGCCGATTTCAGTGCATGATGCTTTGGCTTCTTCTTTAATGAGCTGATTTGGATGATTCTTATTGGATGTATTTTAGGCACATTTATGTGAGCAAATAAATGCTCCTATATGTAGTGGCTGATTCTCTATTGGGGGGAGTTTTTTTGAAGAAAAAAATTTAAACCTGTGGGTTTCTTCCTAGTTTGCGAGCCGGTCTTCTACCTAATCCCTATTGCTTCCTCTCGGGTTTCTTTCTACTTCTTCCCTCTACGATTTTTCCTTCCACCAGTATCTTTCTTCTCTAAACATTGTGAGTTTTGTGGTGGTATTGTGTCTTGTTCTATTGGTATTTGCCTGAGGAGTGCATACTTATGTTGGATCAAAATTTTAGTGGTGGATCACTGGTTAGATCTTTCCTTTGAGCACCTTTTCCTGATTTTGTGATTTGCATGTGAGGTGACCAGTTGTGGTTGATCTGAGAGTTTTTATAGTTCATATGTTTTTATATTTTTTTTCTTACGAGATTTCCTAATCATTTTCTCATATTTGTTTCCTACTAAGTTTCTTTCAGTTGGTGTTTGCTTATGTTTTATTGAAAGGAAGTTCTTAACTGCATGCCTAGTGTTCTCCTAAAAGGTTTAAGATCCTAGGTTTCATCAGCGTTGTTGTGGATGAGAATGGAGGTGGCGGTCAAGGCAGAGATGGTGCTCTTTGTATTGGCAGTGCTCAATAAGAGCACCATTGATGCAATCTCGTTTTTGGGATTGATAAAAAACAACATATTTTAGGATACTAATAACTCCTGAAATGATTGGGGAAGAAAAAGGCATCAGAAAATACAGTGAGGTGCTATTTGGCTAATTTTGTTCTAATCATATATACTTATTTAGGCACTAGAAATTTATCAATAAATTGTTGATGCATGTAATATAATCTTCCTTTAACCGTGTCATGATTGTTTTGGCGCCCTTAAGAAAGGCACACTTTCAATTGTCACTGCACTTTCAAGTGATGCTCAGCCAGTGCTTTGAGAATCTAGCTGAATTTCTGTTCTAATCATTCTTTTATTCTTAATTACATCTATTGTGCTACAGGTGCAAGCTGTATTGTTATTATTGGGAGGGTGTGAAGTGCCTACTTGTGTATCTGGCTCAGCATTAGTATGCAATCAAGATGACAGGGTATGCTCAAAAGTTTAAATGCATCATCAGGTTACAAACTTGAATTTTTGTTGATGGGTTTCTTTTTGTTTGTAAACAGGGAATGGATGATATACTACGACGCACTAATATTCCAGCAAAACGGTTAGCATCTCTTATCAGGTTTCGCGAAAAGCGGAAGGAACGATGTTTTGACAAGAAAATTCGTTATGATGTTAGAAAAGAGGTTGCTCTCAGGTATGCCAGGTTTTATCTTTGTCATTGAAGTCCTTGGTTTTTCTAATTTCCTAGCTACTGAAAATTGGAGTTGTAAACATAACATTTTGGGTAATTTAATACATGATCATTTTGTGAATTTTGGACCTTTGTTTAGAGAACCATCTAGGCTCTGATTTAGCGGTGAATACAATTGAAGGGATATTACTACATACCACTGTCTATCTATTTTAGGATGTAATTTGTATAATCAGAATTACCACTGGATGCTCTAAATAGTATGTCAATATGTTTTATCTTGTCAAAATTATGTTACTTCATCACTATGAGTGCTATAATCTGTTGTTGTTTTTATATAAAGGTTGTGTCATATTTTCATAGTGACAACTTTTTTTTTTTCTTAATCACCACTTCTTCATAAGTGCTCTCATTTCCATTCAAAAGGAATGGGATTTTCTGATAAAATCTTGTGTTAAAACTTATCAATCGTAGCAATTTTTTTTTTTTAATAAATTTTTGTCTTCATTTATGATGCGTAAGACAAACATCATGCACGCTAGGGATTTTCCAAAAATATATATATTTTTAAATTCATGTGTCTACATTCATTCACTCTAATACTGCACTAGACTTGGGTGCTCTGCACACTAAGCTGGCTTGCATTAATCTCTAATTTGTTATAGAAGTGTTCAAACTTAATTAAGAAATAGTTAAAATATTAATCATGTCACTATACTTGATCGATGCATTTTTATTTGATTTCTTACTTATCTATAAATGTGCACAAGATCATATATCGTCCTTATCCAATTATTTGGTGACTGTTTTATGAATTCTCATTTCCAATCATTCTTGTTAAGTGTTGTATGAGTTGCTAAATCTATTCTTGAGAAATCATTTTGAATAAATTCTATCCATATAACCTTAGCTGTATGATTTCTCCCTCATTATCTTCGGACATGGCATGTTTTTAACCTGGTGTTCCTTTAATATAATAATTTCTTAATTTATCCTTCTGAGTTCTATCAAACATCCATTTTAATATTTCATGTTTGTCAACCTCAACTTAGATGTGAATAACTTTTTTAACTACCCAACATTAGAATTGATACATCATCGTTGTTCTGATTGTGTTTTTTAAAAATTTAATTTGAAGTATTTAAGATATTTTGTTATCCCGTAATAATCCTGAAATACTTCTTAATTTAACAATCCAAATTTAGCTCTGGAAGCTATAGATAACATCGAGAATAAGCTGTTGATACACTGAGTTTTATCTTTCTTGGTGCAATGATTGCAAAAATATCATGATCTCCAAAAATTAAAGATAAATATCTAGTATGCTTTGACTCTCCTATAATCTATCTTGATCTAAAAGATAATCAAAATTTGTCGGCTTCATATTACAAATTGCATGATAATTTCCTCCTAAAAAGATTGAAATATGCATTCCTTGTCATTCCTTGTGAGCGTTTCTTATATGGAGTAAGCATGTAGCAGGATTAGTTGGTCATGTTGAAGTCCATAGATATGTTTCTTTAAAAACCATGGTTCGTGCCATATAAGGGGAAGGAGGGAGATTCTTGGTGGAGCTCCAGAGGTTGGAGGGAGGTGGGACAGAGGAGATAGAGGACATTCTATGCATTGTTCAACCACTACTTTGATAGTTTAGGGAGATATTTCAGCTTCCCCAGGGATTGCTACCCCCACGAGAGCATGTGCACTTTATTGTTTTGAAGTAAGGAGTCTCCTCCATTAGTGTCCGGCCATACCGCTACCGTCATTCAGAAGGATAAGATTGAGAGATTGATTCAAGAGATGCTTAAAGCTGAAATCATGCATAATGTGAGCCCTTTCTCTAGTCTTGTATTGCTGGTGAAGAAGAAAGATGAAAGTTGGAGGTCATGTGTAGCCATGCCCTGAACAAGAAAATGGTACCAGACAAATTTTCCATTCCAGTCATTGACGAGCTGTTAGATGAGTTATATGGATTTGTGATAGAAATTCGAGTACCACTAGATCAGAATGCGACCAGGAGACACCCACCTGACAGATTTTAGTACGCAAGAGGGGTACTATAAGTTCTTGGTGATGCCTTTTGGCCTCACTAACACATCGACTACTTTCCAATCTTTGATGAATAGGGTATTTCATTCCTACTTGCGACGGTTTGTGTTGGTATTTTGTGACAATATATTGGTATATATGAGGTCTAAGTGAGAGCACTTGGAGCATTTGAGAGTTGTGCTATCTGTCTTAAGAGAGCACCTTTGTTCGCCAATAAAAAAACATTCTTTTGCCTAGCCATAGTGGAGTATTTAGAGAATGTGGTATCTCAGGAGGAGTGGCAGCTAATTAGAGCAAGATTGAGGCCATGCTCAAGTGGCTCATACCTAAGACTTTGAAGGAGTTGGGAGGATTCTTGGGACTCACAGGCTACTATCGAAAATTTGTGAAATGATACAGTTCTATAGCATGGCCGTTGACGTACAACTTCAACTAGGGAGAGTTAGCTACCAGGCATTTGAGGAGTTGAAGAAGGCTATGACTAGTGTGCCAGTTTTAGCTCTTTCAGATTTCAACCAGGCTTTTGTAGTTGAGACAAATGCCTCGGGTTTTGGGTTGGGAGCAGTACTCATGCATAATTAGAGACCCATGGCCTATTTCTATCAGGTGTTGATGGCCAAGGCAAGACTAAATTCAATCTATGAGAGGAAGCTGATAGTGATTGTGTTGGCCATTCATAAATGACGACTTTATTTATTGGAAGATATTTCATCGTCAGAACTGATTAGAAGAGTTTGAAGTATTTGTTGGAGTAAAGAATTATCACTAAGGAGCATCAAAAGTGGCTTTCCAATTTATTGAGTTATGACTTCGAGATTTAGTATCGATATGGAGTTAAAAACAAAGCAACAGCTGGTTTATCCAGGTGCATGGAGGAGCCCCAGATGATGGCATTGTTTGTGTCCTTAGTGGTTGACTGGGAAGCATTGAGAAGAGAGAGTGAAGAGGATGCAAGGTTGAGAAAAATTAAGGAGGAGCTGTGCAAAATAAGGAAAATCATCCGAGTTAGTCAGTGGTGGGATGGATGTTGCTTCATAATGGGCGGTTTGTGCTTCTAAAGACCTCTTCTTACATTCCTTGCTTGCTTTAGGAGTTTCACGAGATGGCCAATGGGGGACATTCATGGGTCAATAAGGCCTATCGTTGACTTTCTACAGAGCTGTATTGGGAGTGTATACAGAAGAATGTCGAGAAGATGGTGGCTAGCCATACCTGTTAATGGCAAATGGCTCACCATGGTGCAAATGTCCCTTTGAGCTGAAGGGGCATTTGTTGAGATCTCAACAAATTATGAAGAAGCAAGCATATGCACACAAGAGAGACATTCAATTTGAGGTGGAGGATAGGGTTTAATTTAAACTTCGACCCTAGAGATAGAGAACCCTGGCACGAAAAAAGAATGAGAAGTTATCACCCCATTATTTTTGGTTCTTGCAAGATAGTGGAGTTTATCGGTGTCGTGGCATATCGCCTACAATTACCACCATCGTGAGACATCCACCCAGTGTTTTATGTGTCCCAATTGCGACATGTGATAGGAGAGCACATTCTATTTTCTGCACCTCCCCCATCCTTGACGGATGACATGAAGGTGTTGTTAGAACCATTAGCGGTTGAAGGAGTGTGCCATGGAGTAATATGAAGCAAAGAAGTATTGATTAGGTGGAAGAACCTAAAGTAGTATGAAGCCACATGTGAGTCCCACTAGATTATTCAACAACAGTTTGGGGGGAAAGGGAGGAGAATTAAAGGAGGGGGTTGGTAAGGGATTAGAATTAAGGGGAGGGGGTTGGAAAGGGAGGAGAATTAAAAGAGTGTATCACTTGTCAAAGGAGGTGGGGGGAAAAACATGGAGGAGTAAATTCAGGTTTTGGGGGGAGAGTTATATTAGGTTTTTTGGTGGCATTATTTTTCTTCATGCATATTTTGTTAGTGTTCTTGTTGCCCACTTTTTGTGGGGATTCTAGTGGCATCTAGAGTTTGGGAGAGAAGTTCTTTCTCTTGAAAGATGACCATTGTGTCTAGTTTGTTCGTTTTTGATTTCTTTTCAAGAAAATATGTTTGGTTTACTGAAATTTATTGTTTGTTCGCTGATTTTGTTTGTTCCAACTCATCTTGGAGTTTTAGTCACAGACATGAGCATACTGGAAGTGCTCTTAGATTTGATTGCATTCTTGGTTATAAAGACCTATAGTCACCTACATTTCTTGTGTTGATTTGTAAATTATATATTCAGAATATTATGATGTCATCTTTTGTATTTTCGAAATTCTTTTTGGATGGAACATCCGAGGTCCTGCTCTGTCTCTGAACTATCCTAAGTTCTCTATGCATCTCTTCCTTTATTAACTATTTTCATAATTTCTCTGATAGCAAAATTCAATTGATATACTGTGTTTTTTTTTAATTGCCTAAATGTCCTTTTAGCTGAGTCTATGAAGGATGGTGCCTGTATGAGATAGCGATATGACAGCAGAATAACACAACAAGAGCATGGTTGCTTTTGTAATTTTTTATGTGTTATGTATTAGCGTCAGGTAATATAATTACTTCTAAAAAATAAATGAGGCCAAAATTCCACAATTTAATTTGTATCATATACTCCACATAAGGTCCAACTATTTTTCCACATTTCATTTTCTTTAAAGCTTTTGTAACTTCGATTTTATTAATACGACGATGAAAATAAAAATATCTATTTTCATTTAAGGTGCTAAAATCACTAAAATCAACCGTATTCTCACAATCTTCATTTAAAAACACATCGAAATGTCTCATCTACCTATGTTGAATATCTTTTTCTAATAAAAGCACTTTTAATCTTCATTCTTAATTCTCTTCACTTAAACTAGATCCTTCTCCTATCTTTTTGTTTATCTAACTTAGGCTTCGTTTGGAATAGTTTTTTATTGCTTATTAAAGAAGTTTTTTGTACAAAAATTAATTTTCACTAAAAAACTGTTTTAAGAAGCAGTAAGAAAGTCGTCCCAAATGAAGCCTTATACATATATTTTTCACCCTCCTTAGTATTAAATATATTATATAAATCTTTAAAAGTTAAATTCTTTATATATCATTTTGCTTTTTTAGACTCCCTACGTGCCTAATATATCTTTCTTAATTTTCTGAGCTTTTACATTTAAACAATTTTTTTATAATAAAGCTTTTTATTTTTATTTTCTTTTTTTTTTTAATATTCTGATTTCATCACCAACTATTTTTATTATTAGGAGTTTTTCCTTTTGATATTCCAATCACATAACATTATTTAGATTGCTACCTATTTTTTCTTAGATAATATTAGCTTTCATAAAACACAAAATCTTGAGATATGGAATCCGACTCTCAAAAACCTTTTATTAGCATTCTTTAAGTGGTTTTATCTAATCCTAGAACAATGTTTTAATTCATTTTTAATATTCCAACTCTCTTCTTAAAGCTCAAAACTAATAAGCGATGTTGGGTGTATAAATTTTCATTAGGAATGATTTTGTAATTTTTGCAATCTAAACGATCTATTTTCTTGTAAGAAAATAATTAATTTGAGTTTTTTTATATCCATTTTTATAAGTTATGACTTATGAGATACTCATATCTTTTCATAAATAAGGTATTAACAATTACAAAATCATAAATTAGAGTAAAATCTTATATGTTTCTAGCAACTTCATTAGTTGCTCTAGACTCATAGTCATCTTAAATACTTTTAAAATATTCTATCACTCTATTAACATGTTCATTTAAATTTCTTCCCCTAAAAACTATTTCTTCAAAAATGTATTATTTGTATTAATTCTTTTAAGTGATTCTAAAATTTTAATTTCGAACATATTTCTAAAGTACTTAAGGAGTATAAGTACTTATAATATTAATAATCTTAGCATCAACAATGATCGTAAAATTATAGTTTTATTTACAATTTTTTAAATTTTTATAACATTATTATTTGAACTCTTACCTATAATTAGGCCTACATCATTTCTAGTATGTCTCATACTTGAATACTATAGTCCTAAACTATCAATCTTCTTAGTCTTGTCTCCTACCCATTTAATTTTCTAAATACATAGAATAATTTTTTTCTTATGAATCATATTATCTATTAATTTTATTAATTCTAGTTTCATGAACTAGCTTCTTTGCCCACATCCATCCATAATGTTGGAACTCTTACTTATTTAACATTATTCCTGGACGTAAGTGCAAAAGCCCATATACTTTTTTCATTGTATTCAACCAATACAGTGTGTCACATTTAGGGAACACCTTAATATTAACACAATGTCTTAAAGGATTTATGTCATGATTGTTCGACAAGTTTTATGTTGGTTGTCAATTAACTAACGTATTATTCATTCACTTTTTTCATCCAGAACTTAGGATCCAATAATGAAAATGTTATTAAAATAAAAAATTAAAAAAACCAAGACATCAATATTATAATACAATTTTCATTATTGCTAAGTTGATGTGATAATTTTTGTAAAAACATCATCATCATTTGCCTTAACAGTTCAACAATTTGGGGTCGGTTCGGTACAAATGCTAGCATGTTGGCGTGAATTCTAGGGATAAAAAAACCTGGCAAATACATCATAATACTTAACGGATATGCAGTAAATTGGGTGCTCAGTTTAAGGGTCAGGCGAATCCATATTAATTGCGGAGTAACCCAAACATGTACAGAACTGGACATTTTTTTCGCTATCCAAATTCCAACAATTGTCTGAGCCATGTCCATAGCAAGCTTGTCTAATTCTTATTGGAGTTTTGAACACAGGCAAGTACAAACTGGAAGCATTCTTAGATGTGATTGCATTCGTGGGTGTAAAGAGCTATAAATGACTACATTTTTTTATATTGATTTGTTAGTAAGAGTATTATGATTCCATCTTTTACATTCTAAAAACACTTATAGGATGAAACGTCGAAAAGGTCAGTTTGCTGGGAAGGCTAATCCTGACGATGAGGCATCACCCTCTTTAAGTTGTGATCAAGCTTCAAGCCAAGATGATACTCCTAGGGAAACAAAGTATGTACTTTTTTTTTTCCTTATAAAAATAGTTTCCAGTTTAGTATCTTCTATGGAGTCCTTTCCCCGGCCCCTCATGGTTATTGCTGCTTCCAGCTGCCAGAATTGTGGCATTAGTGCAAAGTTGACACCCGCAATGCGTCGAGGTCCTGGTGGTCCAAGGTCGCTTTGCAACGCATGTGGGCTGATGTGGGCAAACAAGGTTTGGCTAGTAGCTTGTCATTATAAACTTGCAGAGTTCCTCCTATTAGTATCTTTTCCACTTGCTTTTCTTAATGCTCAATCAAATTATTATCATTTAAGAGTTTCTATGAGTGATCTGATTTCTGATGTGATTAATAAGTAATAATTAGAGTCAGAAGCAGAAATTGGAAATAGAAGTACGATATGTTCCTTGTTCTGCTATTTGATAGATGTTATATAATTGTAAATCCAATAGCACTGTACACTTTTGAAGAATACATGGCCTAGGTAAACCTGAAATCATCAGATAGTAAGATCCTTTTATTGGACGAGCGGAGATCCCTGCAGCACCTTCTTATCTGTAGTTCTGTACACTCAATTGTATTTTCTAGCTGTTTGCACTAAGTAGATCGGTTGTATTTTCTTAATCTATCTGAACACTCTTTTGTTCTTTCTAGACAGTATAGCCTAATTTAATTCAAGTAATATGTCTAAATTAATAAAGAAATATATTGGTAACTAGGTAATCTTAGTGGCTGTTTAGTATCCTATTTCAGACAGAATTTGAATAAAATTTACTTTAACCTTGCCAATTACAAATTTTGGGATTTATATCATTCTATTTTGATAAACCCCATTTCAGTCCGAACATTTAAGCTTCGTTTGGGACTGCTTTCTTTTTCTTCTCGAAGTAGCTTTCTAGTACAGAATAAAAGAAATTTATACTAAAAAACTGCTTTAAGAAGCATAAAGAAAGCCGTCTCAAACGAAACCTTAGTTTAATTCCATGATGTACTGTTAATGGATTTAGGATATAAAGCTCTCACAAATTTTAAATCCTGGAATAAATAGTGAAGCAGTTAAATAATATTTAACAAGATGTAAATCTTTTGATGATTTACTAAGTATGGATTTACAGGATTCACTAAATTCTTGCCAACCAACCCCATAAGTGATTTGAATAAATTCTGGTTTCACCATTGTTCATTGTCAAATTGATAAGATGATGAACTAGACTTATCATAACTTGCAGTTTCTGAATGTGTTTTTGTTTTTCTTTTTATCTGCAGGGTACTTTGAGAAGTGTCTCTCAGTCCCCCAAGATGACTACTTTAGCTCTCCCCAGTCCAAATGGAATGGTAGGTCTTTATTTTATTTTTTGTTGAAGGATTACCTCTGATCCAAGTGGCCCTTATACCTGATAATTAATACCATCTAGAAAAACCTATACACCATTATTGAAAAAAAAAATCATATAAATGCATTCTTGAAAGAATGATAAGTATGATAAGAAATACTTGAGTTTGCAAGTAACCCTAAGGGAAATACTTGAGTTCGCAAGCAAACCTAACAGTGATTGGTGAAAAACAGCAAGAAAACCGCTGATTACAGCAGAAAACAGCAATGGTACAGCATCCTTCTTGAGAAATATGTAGAAAACTGGGAGAAAAATGAAGATTTCCACTAATCCATGCATGAAAACAACAAACGATAAAAGTTTCTTCAATTCGAGAGGAAGAAACAACTCTCCAAATCTCTAGCCAAGCCTAGAGCCCAATGAACAAATCCTATATCTCAAATTTGATTTCAAACTCAAGATGAAATTCTAATTCTAGCATTAGCAATTAATTAAAGCCAAATGAGAAATACAAAATCCCTAAACAGCCCCTCATTCAAATATTTCCATCCAAAGTAATTATTAATCAAAAGTGTGGGCCCCATTGGAGCAACCAGCCCTTTCCCTCTCCCTTCCTTGGGCCGGCGGTTGTAGTATAAAACCGGTCCACTAGAGACCGGTTCAATAGCGGCCGACGGCCCTTCTTCGGCCGGCCAAACAAAGTACTGATCAGAACTCTACCAATTTACCTTAGCCTAGATGATAGGTTATTGTAAGCTTTGTTAGGCTTAATAGTTTGATAGTAACTCCTAAGGAGTCTTTGTATTCTAGAAATACTTCCCGTTAGGGAGTAGTAAGTCATAAATATGTCTATTTATGAGATGATCCAGTTGTTGTCTTGTTTTTCTTTTGCCTTCTCTTTCCCAGGTTCCTGCAAGTTCAGAAAGTAGGATCGATGTGAAGCCACCTATTATTTCAAACAATCATGGATCTGCTGAAATGTATGTACTACACCTATGACATATAATTATCATAAAGTATTTGAATTTAAATGAATTTTAAAGCTATTGAATTTATTTTGAGATGAGTCATTACTTGAAAAATCAATCAAAATTTATTTGCACTCATCTCAATACAAATCCAATAGCTTTGAAACCCACATTGACCAAAAATGTATAATTATTAAAATAAATTCTAGTTGCTAGACCTTTCAAAACTGTTGAATTTGGTTTAAGATAAGTGCAATAGATAAAAAAAGTAATTAAAATCTATATTGCACTTATTTTAAATTAACCCAACTTTTATAAAGGCTTCCTTTGGAACAACTTTCTTATTGCTTTCTAAAACGACTTTTTAGTATAATTTTTTTTAAATAGCGAAAAAACAATGGTCAAAAGATGTTATAAACAAGAGAAATTATTACGTGCGGTCATCAGACAGTCCAGAGGTGAATCAGGATGCGTCACGTCACCCCAGTACACAACACCAGTATATAGCAAAAAATAATGTGGTACGTCCTGATTCACCACTAGACCGCACGTACTAATTTCGTCATAAACAAAGCCAAAATCTATCATGATCAAAAGTTGGATCCGATTCAAAAAAATTTCGGTGTTTATCTCAGTTGAATCAGGATTCAATATTTATGAATTCTCTTGTTCAGATTGACACAAGAAGCTCAAGCGGAGGTGCAACCTGGAGAGTAATAAGTGGAGCCACTTGCAGAAGACAAATGTTGTTGCTTTCTACTAATATGAAGAAGAAGCAGCAGTAGTCTCATGCACGGCGTGCTGTTTCTATGACCAATCGTACATTCGGAGAGCTTAATTATGCGATTGTGATGTTATTTTTTTAAGTAAAATGACGTTTATTTTGGTATAATTGACGCTTAATGTTACTTTATTAAATAGGTTTTATTCCTTTGCAAGCAATGCTGCTGTTGATTACTTTATTAATTAGATTTTTATGGTAAGTGTTCAAATGCATAAATAGATAAATATATTTATGTATATATTTCAAATTAAAAGGAGGAGAAATTTCACCCACTGTATATTTATGTCTTTAAATTTTGGTTTTGGTTTTGTGAGATAATAGTGAATGTGTATGAGATTGTCTATTTAATGAATTTGTGTGTGGGTATGTATATGTATATCTCGAAAAATTTCAAAGTAGTTCTTTGTTTGTGTGTGGTTATTTCAGGTAGGGGTGTCAATTTTGGGTCATGGGTCGGGTTAGGGTCGAACCTGAAGTTGACCCGGTACTATTTGGGTCAACCCAAATCCGACACGTTTTTGAAAACGAGTAAGTTTTTTTGACCCGAATCCGACTCGCTTCGGGTCCGGGTAAACCCGGCACGACCCGAATGACACATTTTCAACAAAAAATTGTTAGTTTTCGGGTCAAAACAGGTTAATATCCTCTTTTTCGGATAAAAAATGGGTCAATCTCAGGTTGCCGGGTCAAAATTGATTTTCGGGTTAATTTCGGGTCAAAGGGTTAACTCGAACCCAACCTGATTTTTGAAATCGGTCAAAATGTTGAACCCGAACTCAACCCGTTTTGGGTTCGGGTTGACCTTAACCCGAAATTTTCGAGTCGGGTTTTCGGGTCGTGTCAAATATTGACACCCCTAATTTCAGGTTTCATTTGGAACAATTTTCATATCGTTTTGTTTTTAGATTAAGGTCTTGTTTGGGATGATTTTCTTATTACTTCTTAAAATTGTTTTTTAGTACAAATTTTTAAAATTTTATATTAAAAAATTACTTTACAAAGCAATAAAAAAGCTGTTCAGAAGAAAGCCTAAATTTATAATTTTTATTTGACAATTATTATTTTTTTTCTTGTTTTTAAGAATATTTTGTGTTAAAAAGTTGCTTTCAAAAATTCAAATTTACTATTAAAACTATAGCTGTTCCAAGTGAATTCTTAGTCCTGAGCATCACATTGATCCAATTTAGTGATCCGTGTGAGAGATCGTATAAAATTGATTTTTATTTAATATTTTCATTATGCAAAATTGATGCCTATAAGAGATTTTTTTAAAATCAAGTTTTTATAGTTAAAGAGATTAAGTTAAGTATTTGTCTATTTTTTTAAAATTTTCAATAGCCTGAGATGAGTGAGAAAAGGAGTTGAAACTAATCTATATGTTTTTATTTTCTACCTTAAAAAGCACATTAGAGAAGAGAATAGCTATGAGGAAAATGAATATTTAAAATTCAATGGTTTTTTTATTTTTTCTTCTATTTGTGAATTTAAAATTCAAAGGAAAAAAAAAATATATCTAAGATTGTAAAGATTTAAAATTTTTGAATGATATTTGTTCTCTCTATTGGTAGATAGTATTAAAGAAAATTTGAAGGGAATTATTGGTCCTTAAGCTATAGTGAAATTAATAAAAGTTTTGAAAGCACTTAAAGAGTGGTATTTAAACATAAAGAAATCATACAAACCTTTAAAGTTGGATAAATTGAACATAAAAATATCTTCTTTGTTTTTCTATTAACATTTTATGAAATTAGTTAATATTTATTTTAAAATTTTATTTTATAATTTTTTAAGAAAATATAAATAGATAAGAAAATTTAAAAAGACTTGCTTAGGTGGATGAGTGGCTTCATTTTTAGGGACATAATATGAAACGAGTGTATACATGAAAAGGTTGCAGTAGCTTCAATGACATACAAGATTGGAGAGAGTCATCTTAGATGATTTGGTCAATAAAATATTTGCTTTTTGATGATCTAATTAGGAGAATATATGTATTAGATTTAGCTTATATTAAGAAATATAGACGTGGACTTAAAAAGACTTGATTAAAAAGTATTTGAAATATTTTTTTTTATCAAATTTAATGAGAATATAAATCTTAATAGAACACAATGGAGAAAAAAAGTTTCACATAGTCGACCCCATATACTGGAATAAAAGTTTGTTGTTGCTATTGTTGTGCCCTATATTTTAGAAAATATAGCAAATTTTGTTGAGAAAATCAATTAGTTCATTGGTCTTATTGTTAAAATAATTTTAATTTGATCCCAAAGTTTGGAACTTTTTGATTAAATGCCAAATTTTGAAAATTATTTTCTCTTAGTCATCCATTAAATAAGCTTGCCTTTGCCTCTAAGATTGTTTTACTATGAATTGAAATAGGAAAATAATTATCTAAATATATTCTAATAGAAATAAATTAAAATGGGCCTAAAAATTATAAAAATTACTTTTAGGTTTTTGCTTGATAAAAATATTTTATATTACATTAGTTTTAAAATAAATTCAATAATAATTTTTAAACTCATTATTATATAATTTATATTATAATCTTGTGATATATTTTGTATTCATTAAAGTAAGAAACACACCCTAGGCTTATATATATTTTTCTCACCAAACAAAACAAATTAATCATTTAATATGAGTGAGAATAACTTTTTTTCTTCAATTCTCACAATCTAGATTTAAGAGATTTACAACTATTTTATCATGACTTTTATTATCTTTTTTTTATTTTTAAATTAAGAATATTCATTAAATAATTTATTAAAATTTAATTACATTTAATATTTATATTGTCAAACAACCCCTAGGTGTCAAGTTTATAAATTATAAAATTTGAGTGTCATTTATGTAAATCCCCCTTCTTCTTTAAAGCTTCTAACAGTTTTCTCCGCGACCACTTTGATCGCATTTGCTTCGAGGAGGGGGAAAAGAGGAGTCTCGCTTTCTCCTCCTTTTCTCCGATCGCCTAAGCCGCCTCCGTCTCGAGATCTAGTGCTACTTTTATAGTTTAGAATCGACGAGGTGTAGAGTTATTCTTAGTGATGGGGCAGAAGTCGCTGATCTATGGTTTTGTGGCTCGGGGAACGGTGATCTTGGCGGAGTACACGGAGTTCACCGGGAACTTCACTAGTATCGCGGCACAGTGTCTTCAGAAGCTTCCAGCGAGTAACAATAGGTTCACATACAACTGCGACGGTCACACCATCAACTTTCTCGTCGATGATGGATACGGTGAGCCTGATATTGTTTTGTTTTAATCTGTTTTGTAGGTTTGCTTGGGTGATTGGAGGGTTTTTTTTGGATCGATTCGTAGAATTTAAGGAATTGATGTTAGTTTTATTGATTTGCTTTTGTGGAGGTCCGGAAATCCATTGTTTCGTGTTTGTTGTGTGGCTCCACTCTTGTTGGATCTTATTACCGGCGAGAGGAAGGAGTAGGAATGAAAAAGATGAAATGTTTTTCTTATTATTTGTGAATACTCTCTCTTGCATCTATACTAGAAGAGACAAGACATATGCATACAAGTTCCCAGAAATTAGCCAGAAAGATATGGCGACAGGAAACCAAGAAGTAATGTATAGCTGTAGTGATGTGGCCGTCAGGTTCCTTAGCTGATGTGTGGCGGTAATAGACCTGGTTATTTTTTCTGTTAATTATGTGTTGTATTTTATCGCTGCTTTGGTGTCTGATGGATGGGGTTTATGTTATTTGGGGGCTTGGAAAGGTGTCTGTCATTTTATTTTAGAATTGTCCTTTCCACTTAATGGTAGAAATTAAACAATAAGTTGTTCCTTCAGATCTTAGTATCAGATGCATGGCGTATTTCTTTAGCTCAGGATGTTCAAAAATTCATTTGTACATGTAGGTGTGGAACGGAATCTTATGGATTAGTTGAATGCCTTTTTCTATCCTGTTCTGGATATGTGATTTGATCAGATTAGGGATAATATGGGTAACGCATATAGAAAGGTAGGCATGTATTATCATTTATTTTCTTTATATTTTTTTTCTTGGTTCATTCATTCCGGCAGCCTTCTCAAGCTATATGTCTGGTTAATATAAGAAGCTATTTGGATGGCTCAGATGCTATCTTCGTTTATTGGAACAAACAGTTGCAGCTTATAGTTCTCTAATCTTATTTTATTTGAAGTTATTCTCTATTCTCAATTATTGCATATGAGTTGTTTGCCCGTTCTTTATGTGGCGGAATTTGTTGTCGCATTTTCTTCCCGACTTCTTAAAGTGTTTCAATCACGTGAGGCACTCGATCTTGTATTTGTCTGAGTGTCTGACTCTAGCTAGCTTGATTATGTGATTGCTCATTTGTTATGTACTAGCTATAATTTGTGGCCTTGGAAATCTATGAGTAAAACTCTATCCGAAGTTATTAGTTTAAAGGAAAATTATGTGCAAGGGATTCTTATCTAGATTTTGATTTATGAAGTGGACCCAATCATGTTTCTAGTTTCTACATGGTAGAATAGTATTGCTATGATGCCCAACTCAGAGCCCAAAGAAATCCCGGGTCTGTTTGATAGATGACAAGTGATATACATATGCCTTGTGCCATCCAACTAGCCTCACAATTTAATTTATGCTTTGAGTTTGCTAGCTAAGCATTTCTTGTTGGAGAAGATTTTACTCAGTGTCAATCTTATTTGTCTCGATTTAGTAATTCCTTTTTAATTGATTAATAATGTTAAGTACTGTCAAACAACCTGCTCTTGTTGCGCCAGCGTTCTTTCACAGTTATCCTCCACTCTGATTTTTCTCTCTTTATCAATAAATAGATTACCCACGTCATTTTTTTCTATCATTTTGTGTCTTGTTGCTTCAATTTTCTTGCTCCTGCAAAGAATTAGATTATTATTTGATATATTCATGCTGCACCCAAAAAAAAAAACACTGTTCCTGAATGCTGGCAGATGGTGCTCTTACTGCTATGTAGTTTAATCTGCCACTTCTTTGCTTGTGAAATGGTTCTATGTTGCATCATGTCAGTGGAACATCCAAGTTCTTATGCTTTAAGTTTATTGAAAATCTGTTTTTACAACAAGTCTTCTAATCGCCACAATCACACTTGAAATTCAGAAGGTTGGCTTGAGTTTAGGATGTAGCCCTATTAAATGATTTTGCTCATGTAGTATGATTTTTAGGTAAACGAACAGGCACATTTTCTATTCAGTTTTCTGGATAACACTATTCTTCAGCTTATTCTTAAGATGGTCTAGTTTTAACCATAAAAATATTGTAATTGAACCCTATGCCTCAGATTTCTATTGTGATATGTAGTGCTTTGCGTTTGACTTCAATTTTATGGACACTACGTCTGATATTCCAAAAATCAAATGTATATTAAAATTTTCTTAAGATTTTTCTAATGTTAGCATCCCCGAGTCTTCAATATGTTGTCCATAGAAATAAAATGGTTAAGTTATTTGATTACTTTTTATTTTAATGTAGCTAGAACTAATTACTATGTATTTAGTATGCATCTGACTACTTGATGCTTGGAATTGTTTAATAAGAGGATTTTACCTTGAAAAATTATGTCATTATTGCATTTGTTTTTAGGGCGATTTACATACATAATACTAAAATCTATCCTGTTTATTTCTTATATACATAATACTAAAATTTACCTAATTTACTCAGCTACGGCTTCAAATATTTTGACTAAAAAAAACCACTCAACCTTCACCTTTATTAGAGAAAATTAGAGGCAGAACCAAACAAATTTCTTTGTGGAGGTAGAAATTGATGAATTTAAAAATATCATCAATCTTTTTTTATCCAGGTTTGAATTTACATTGGCGGTTTGAAAAAGATGTAAAAGTATTAGTATAAAAAGATATGCTGATAAAAAAATTATAGTTGAGAGCACCTTTGATCATTTCCCAATATGAAAAAAAACTCCTAAGAAAACAGAGAAATACCTAATTTTTTGCTTCAACTTCATCTTCCAAGCACTTGTAATCTTTGCCCAATATGAGAAAGATATTTTGGATTTGAGTGATTTAACTTTCTTTTGTTCAATCAATTCAGATTCACGTCTAACAAACATGAAATAGATCTAACTCTATCATATTATCTGTCAAGTTGTTGAAACACCTTTCTACTAGTTCTATAAATGGAACATTTTCAGAAGCTACATTGCTAAGGCGTTCCTTGTAAGCGATGCGCCATATAACTTGAATACAATGCGAAATAAGTAAGCGCAACTATACTGATGCCCATGTGTAGTTTTAAATAAGCAAGGGTTCCCACATCATGGGTGGATATGGGCAAAGGAACTAGTTCATGAAACTTGAATTTGGATAGGAACTTTGAATATAGGCTCTCTTACAGATAAATTAATAAAATTAAAAAATATTATGATTCATAGGAGGTTAAATATTCTGTGCATTCAGGAAATTAAATGGGTCTGAGAGAAGGCTAAGGAGATTGACAGTTTTTGATTTAAATTATGATATTCAGGTAGGTGTCGTACTAAAAATGATGTATGTGTAATTACATATAAGAGTATGAAGGATAGTGTTGTATAAATTAATCGATTGAAGATAAAATTATGACTTTAAAGATTACTGTTGAGACTACCATTATTAATATTATAAGTGCTTATGCTTTTTAAGTTTGGATATTTGTTCAAAATTAAAATTTTGTGATGACTTAAAAAAATTAATACAACAAATACCTCTTGAAGAAAGAGTTTTTATTGGATGAGGTTTAAATGAAAATGTTGCTATAGTGGTAAAAGATTTTAAAAGTATTCATGGTGGGATTTGGAGCGACTAATAAAGGTGGTAGGGTCATATTAAATTTTGCTTTAGTTTGATTTTATAATTTTTAAAAGCTTATTTAAGAAAAGAGATCAGCATTTCATCATTTCTAAGAATGGAGATAGTAAAACTCGGATTGATTATTTTCTTATAAGAAAAATATTTCATTTAGATTGAAATATTGTAAAATTATTCCGAGTAAAAATTTATATATCTAAGGTTGCTTAATCAGACATAAAAAGACCCGTAAGGAGCTTAAGAAAACAATATAAAAGGGCTCGTAAGGAGTCTAAAAAATCAATATGCGATTCAAAGAATTTAACTTTTAATTATTTTATATAATAGATCAGATACTAAGGAGAAGAAAAGTTTTATGTATAAGTTTGACAAGTAAAGATATGGAAGAAATAAGAATTTAGTTAAGTACATTAAGAATGAATACTAAAAAGCGTTTTTATTAGAAGAGGATATTCAACATAGGTGGATGAGATATTTTAATAAGTTTTTCAATGAAGATTGTGAGAATGTGATTGACTTTAATGACCTTAGTACCCTAAAAGAAAATATAGACTTTTGTTTTTATCGTTGTATTAGTAAAATAGAAGTTAGAGAGGCTTTAAAGAAAATAAATTATGAAAAAATTATTGGACTTGATGATATTTCAATATAGGTGTGTAAATGTTTTGCAGATGAAGGAATTTCATTGCTTATGAACTTTTTAATATTATTTTAAATACTAAAAAGATGTCAGATGAGTGAAAAAGGAGTGTGTTGATTCGTATTTTTAAGAATAAAAGTGATGCACAAGAATGTGCAAATGACAATCCATTTTTCAGTCTATTGCTTCAATGACAGCTTTTGTCATTCCACCTTGAGGACAAGATGGCACTTTGGGAGGGGAGTACTGATGGACCGGTCGATTTGATTGGGAGGGAATTAGGAAGTTTACTAATCAAGAGGGAATTATTTAGGAAGATTTTTAATCAAAGATGAATTGTTTAGGAAAGTTTTAATTATAATTGGTAGGGAATTATTTAGGGTAGGAGATCTAATTTTAATTCAAATATGAGAGGGAATTATTTAGGGAAAGAGGACTGATTTGGGAGGGAATTAGGGGAGCCTATTTAAGGCTAACAATTGGGTGATTTCAGATTATGTTGTATTTTGTTAAATTTAGATTCTTCTTAGGTTGAGTGGGCTCTAGCCGACGGCTAGAGATTTGGGAGAGTCTGATCTTCCTCTCCAAATTAAAGATCCACTTGTATCTTGCTATTTCCTTCATAAATCTTTCAATAAAAAGTGTCTTGAGTGTTTCTATTCCTAGTTTTTCTTGTTGTATGTTCGTTGGTTTTGCTGAAATCAAATTTTAGCCTAGGTTTTCTAAATTTTTGCATCCACTTCCTATCAGATTATTCTTTAATCTATTTGTTTCTAATTTTACTAAAATTCATC